ACTACTACTACTACTACTACTACTACTACTACTACTACTACTACTACTACTACTACTACTACTACTACTACTACTACTACTACTACTACTACTACTACTACTACTACTACTACTACTACTACTACTACTACTACTACTACTACTACTACTACTACTACTACTACTACTACTACTACTACTACTACTACTACTACTACTACTACTACTACTACTACTACTACTACTACTACTACTACTACTACTACTACTACTACTACTACTACTACTACTACTACTACTACTACTACTACTACTACTACTATGCTTACTACTACATCTACTAATATTATGATTTTTTAGCATGATTAGTACTATTGGTATCATGAGTATTCGTGGTAGTGTTATTATGGCCTCGCCATGAGGCCAAGGCCACCTTTCTTTTCCTCTACTTAGGGGTTCGTTTTAGGTGTTGGGGTTTAGGGTTCCGTGTCAGGGCTTAGGGATCCAGCTTGGCTGGTAAAGAGTTGGGGCTCTGGGGTTGAAGAGTTATGGGACTACTAAGGGTATGGGATTGAGGGTGCGAGTTTAGGACCAATTAAAATTGAGCATTCATGGTTAAAGGCTCTGGTGCCTTACATTGATTTGGTGCAGGTACGTAGGCTCGAGGGCTTTCGGCTGTACCCACCCAGACCCTGAACAAGAAAATGGCTGCTTGTCCTGAGCGCTTCCCAGCCGCTGAAAGGACACTCTTGCCTGAAACCCTGGTAGCTGAAACTGACCGTGCCCATCGCCGGTACCAGGGCCAGACAAGTCAAGAGCCTTGGTTGCTGAATACCCGTGGACCAGAACCAGAACCCTAATCCAAAACCCCAAGCTCTAAACAAACAATATGAACTCCTGAACCTGAAGTCATGCCTGCTAGATCTGCGCAAAAAGATGCAAAAGCGCATGCTCTGCCAGAAACCTGACCTAAGCTTAAGATGTTGCAAACAAAACCACGAACCCTGTGGAAGCAGACTCTCTACCCGAAAAGACTCGGACTTAGGGCTTAGGGCTTAGTGCTTATGGTGTGTGGATCCCTCAGCCGACTGGGAGCTCCACAACCACCAGCACCAGCAGCCAAGTGAGCAGAACATAAGGCCAGGCGTGCTGGAAACTGAGTGCCAAGTACCTTGATATTGACGGTTTAAAGCTTGAGGGTTTAGAAGCTGAGCCTCTACCCTAAGCCCTGAACTCATTCAAGGATTCTGGGTTAGTGACCAATGACCTCGATTGATGCCTGTGGGTTTCGAGCTAAGGGAACCTCGCCAGAAGAAATCCATACCCACCTTGAAGTTTAGGGTTAAGGCCTTCATCGCCGGGGTCATGAAACACTCAACAGCAAGCTCCGTAAGTGGATCCGAGGTTCCAGCTTACAGGATCGCGCGTGTATGGCCGGGTTAGCGCTCAGTAGGGCTAAGAACAGTAGCTTTAGGCTTTCAGTGTTAAGTTGTAAGAGCTAGTGGCTTGAAGTTCACAATATGGAGTTTGGTGGACATCTCACCATGCAAGACGGATCTTCCCGCTCCAGTTCCCCGAATCTACAAGAGGTAAGCAGACACTCAGCACCTCGGTACCTTAACCCTACTGGCACAAGTGTTTGAACTCCGTGTTGATGTGTGTATACATATGCACGTAGGTATGCATGCATGCATGCATGGAGGGATGGATGGATGGATGTACACATAAGTATATATGTATATGTGCCAAATAGATTCTGAATGTTATATATGCACATATACATATATAGATATATAGGTATAGATAATGTAAACTCTCTCTCTCTCTCTTTATGTATGTATATATGTATATACGTATATATGTATGCTCATGTTCATACACAGATGTAAATACATACATGTATAGTTAGGTGTATATGTATACATGTGTGTAAACGTGTATATATACATATGCCATACACGCAAGCGCTGTGTACATCTCTTGAATGGCCCTGACGACCTTGCTGTGTGATATCTTCTGTCTAGGTCTTAGGTGCAGTACTTGCCATTTGATGTACTTGGACGGTCATGCGACTGCTGACTATATCCCATAACCTCGGCCGTGGGTGCTTCCAACGCCCGTCGGTGGCCCACGTGTGCGACAGAAATATGTGGAACTTGGCAACCTGAATTAGGGAGAAGATGAGTAGAGACCAACGAAGAAACCGTAAGATTAGGTTTGGCCCAATGCTCACGAAGCTTTGGTGTCTGACCAGCCTACTGCGAGCCCCGGACAGAGGTCCTGTTCGGGGCGCCAACACGAAAACAAACCTGTGCTAGCTCAGTATAACCCACTAGGAAACCCTAAACCCTAAACCCTAAAACCCCAAACCCTAAACCCTAAACCCTAAAGCCCTAAACCCCTAAACCCTAAAAAGCGCTTAGCCAAACTGGCCCGTAGGTCGAGCTGCCCTGAACCTATAGCTCGAGAAATCCGCTCAAGCCGTGCACCCAAACACCCTAAACTGTATCTCCCACCCTCAGCCCTAAATTTGTCGACCCAAAACCCTTGACCTGAAAACCTTTGCCGCAAAGCCCCCGGGGCCTGTCTGGAACGAGTCCACAGGCTAGCTCTCTCCTGCACACTGTGGAGCTGCTCAGATTTTGTATTGGGTGAAGGGTTTAGGGGTTGAGGTTTTTGGGGGCTTAGGGGCTTAGGGGTTCAGGGTTTAGGGTTTAGGGTTTAGGGTTTAGGGTTTACTTGGGGGCTTAGGGGTGGGGGTTTAGGGTTTGGGGCTTTGGATTTATAGTGTCTATAGGGTTTAGGTGCTCAGGGTTATGGATTTCGGGCTTTGGGTTTCAACATGTTCTGATGTCTCGCTGTCGTGGAAAATCCTCAGGGCCGCTGTTTTATTCGGGATGGGCTCCCCCAGTTGAAGGCCAACACTACTGTCCTTGTTATGGTTTTATTGCTATTGTTATTGTGATTATTGGTATTAGTCTTATGATTACCAGTGGAAGTCTGTCAGGTTTGCAGCCTTTCGGCGTTTCTCAAGACTCACGGGGCTGAATCCTAAAAATGCAGAGCCATCAAATTCCGAAAATGTGCCAAAAGCAAAGGTTCTGTGTTGAGCGCACATAATATTCTTGAAGGATTTACTGTGTAATTTAGCTTTCAAGGTACAAGATCACGAACCCCGCACACGATCATGAAACCCCAAAATCGAAGCTTAAACCCTTGATCGTCGTAGAATCTCGAAAACCTGAACCCCGCCTTCGGGTACAAATTTTGCGAAATCCGATAGTCACAGAAAGGAACCCTACGAAAAAAGGCACTACGACCTATCTAGACTTCTATCCTAAACCCTGTTTGCTGCTAAACACTGAAACCGCCGACCGCTAACCCCAAATCCGCCACCCAATGCCCCTCCTATAGTCTCCATGTCATAGGGACCCTTAAGCGGAGGGTTAGGGGGGGGGGGGGGGGGGGGGTAGGGGACTATACTCTTCCTTAAAAGGCCTTATTAAGTCTTTGATTCTAGGTATTAAAGCCCCCTGCCCCCCTACCCCCTACCCCCCTAAGGGTCCCTATGACCACTGGAGAGTTTTGGATAAACCAATTTCATGGTTAGGATCCTGTACTATAACCTTGGTTAACCAAAAAGAGGAACTATAATGGAGACTATCGGCGAACTATATAATCTCTGAACGCTCTATTGTATTGTCAAAGCTAAAAAACACACCACGTACTGCCATAACGGCCACATAGATGCGAATACCCAATCCGAGATCCTCATGGCGCAGATACGCTAAGCCCTAGAAAATTGCAGCCGTTGTTGGGCAATGCGAACTGAACCTCAAGAAGGTTGGGACATGGTTTCGGTATGATTCATGCTGGGATTCCCGCTGCATTACTTTAAGGGCATGAGAAAAATGTTGTTCCAACTTCTGGCTTCTACCTTAAGGAGCACAGGCTTTCGGGGCTCCGGTAAAGCATAACTTGGTTGGGTCTCGAAGCCGAAACCCAAAGCCTTATACCCAAACCCCTGAGCCCTAAACCCTACCTGTGACCCCAAACCCTACAAAAAGTAGTAGGTTATGACCCCTTAATTCGAGGGTAGAATCCTTAAAAGCGGTAGTGTTGTTGGATCCCAAGGTAAACCCTAAGAGTCCTTCTCCGGTAGATCGATCGGGGATTGCCGCCAGAGGCGTCCCCAACTCTGTAGGGTTTCCTTCATGGAGATGCCTGAGGCTTGCGCGGCTTCGATTTTATTCCTAAAGCTCCAAGTACACAAATGGTACCTACTTTAGGCTATTTGGAGCCCCAGGGTATGGCGCTAAACTCTAACCCTACACCCTAAACCCTAAACCCTAAACCCTACACCCCTAAACCCCTAAACCCTACACCCTAAACCCTAAACCGGAAAACCCAAAACCCAAGGGTCTCCTTCCTGGAGATGCCCGGGGCTTGGGCTTAGAGGTTAGGGGGTTTCTTATGGCATATGGAGATTCCTAAACCCGAAACCTTAATGACTTGAAGGTGTAAGGATCTGGGATTTTTATGGTGCTTCTGGTGGTTTGGGTGAAACCCTAAACCCTAAACCCTAAACCCTAAACCCTAAACCCTAAACCCTAAACCCTAAACCCTAAACCCTAAACCTAAACCCTAAACCCTAAACCCTGAACCCTAAACCCTAAATCCTAGTTTGGTTGCGGTACATAATTCCTAGACCTCTGAAAACTTCTTCAAGAAGCTATAGAGTTTACTGCTGTGACGTTAGGGCAAAGGGACTCGCGGTCCAGGTTGTCGGATTTGAAGTGTTGTGCGTTTAGGGTTTAGGGTTTAGGGTTTAGGGTTTAGGGTTTAGGGTTTAGGGTTTAGGGTTTAGGGTTTAGGGTTTAGGGTTTAGGGTTTAGGGTTTAGGGTTATTCGGGAAAATTTCGCAATGCAGCATAGTAGTCCACACCCCACTTTGGCTCTTATTCCAATCATGAAGTCCCCTACAACGGTTGTTTGGAGTCAAACCCTAAACCCTAAACGCCCCAACTATAGGCTAAAAGCCTGAAACCCTGAACCTTAAACCCCTAAACCCTAAACCCTAAACCCTAAACCCTAAACCCTAAACCCTAAACCCTAAACCCTGAACCCCCACAACCCCAAGGTTGCCTCGCATCAGCTCATTGCTGGTCACCGTCAGGATCCTTGGTCGCTGAGTTCATAAGGGCGTGGCGTGAATTGTCAGGGTTAGGGGCTTTGCGGTTCTGTGCATGGGAGTTTGTAGAATATATTTCTCAAACTCCCTACTTAGATGACGGGGGATGATTCAGAAGTTTCAAAAAGTTTGAATAGTCAGGCTTTGGGGTTAGGGGGCTCTGTAGGGGATTGCGTTGTCGCGAAAAGTGTAACCTACTGGGGTTGAGGGCTTAGAAATTCTATGAGGGATTTCGTTGTCCCCAAAGTGTAAAGTCCACTCGCTCAGCTGACAAGGATCTTGTCGACATGCAAGCGAGGTAGGGACTCGGATTCGTCACTCTCACTACCTGGTGCACCAGAAGCCCGACAGCTGTACGGTTTATTGGTTTGGGGTTGCGGGCTTTGTTTTTGAAGGCCCTTTTTCCGACTGCCACTCTAACCGTTCCCAGCAGAAAAACCTAAGGGTTTTGGGTTTAGGGCTTCTTTTGCTGACTCTGTAGATGGCCCCCTGCAACAAAAAGTCTGTTGTGCACAATAGGTACCCCCCAGCTTCTCTTCGTCACGGCCGCAGTTCTTGTAGGGCCCAACCTCCATACTCTGCACCGCATCGCGTATATCAAGGATCTCGACGCTGGGCTTCGCTGCTTCAACATCCAGCTTATCCGGATCACAGTGGTTGCAGCTAGGTCCCGCCCCCATGTTTCACAGCGGAGCTTTGCACTCAACGCTGCGTTTAGGGTTTAGGGTTTAGGGTTTAGGGTTTAGGGTTTAGGGTTTAGGGTTTAGGGTTTAGGGTTTAGGGTTTAGGGTTTAGGGTTTAGGGTTTAGGGTTGGAGCTTTGCACTCAACGCTGCGTTCGAGGAGCGGTCGCTCATGCTCGAGCCCAAAAGATAGGTGCAAAAACCGGGTGACATCAGCAATGCGATCTCCAAAAACATTCCAAATCCTTGAAGCTCTAGGCCCTGTAAACCTGAAGCCCCAAAAGCCTTGTCTTGAGCCCATCAGAACCCTAACAACCCCAAACCCTATCGGAGACCTTTCAATCAGGGACCCAACACGCTAAGCCCTCTGAACCTTGAACCCTAAATCCCCGGTACCACAAACATCTAAAGAAAAGGTCAACCCTAAACACCCAAACCCCCAACCACTAGACCCTAAACCCTAAACACCGAAACCCTAAACCCTGAACCCTAAACCCCTAAACCCTAATTCCCCAACCCTAAACCCGAAACCACTCAAGATCCGGAAGCTTGAGGTTAAACCGAGTCGGTTGCCTCCTGCCTACGGGTACCGGGCTTAGGGTTCGAGGGGTTAGGGTTTAGGGTTTAGGGGTTTAGGGGGCAATACTTGCTTCTAGGGCCTTAAGTGTAACCCTGCATGTCGACATGGGAGGTTCTTATAAGGACCCCGAAATACGGCACCCCTAATTTTCGGAAACCCCACCATATTACTGCAGAGACCTCAGACAATTCGAGAATGCTAAGGAGTCCAAAACGTCTCGGGGCCCGACCTGGCGTACTGTAGGGGCATTTATAATCAGAACAGGATTCCCCTTTAGATAAAGGGATCCTTAGAGGGGTCTATATGGGATCTGTCATAATAGGGTTGCATATTGGGGGTTTAGAGTTTAGGGTTCCTTCTAAAGGGGTCTATAAGGGTTAGTAGAGGGGCCTAGTATAGGGGCCTTACCAATTAGAATAATTAAAGCCCTTTGGGGTACATGTACAGAAGAATATTGGAATGTGGTACTCGGTAGGGTTTTAGGTTAATTAAGGGGTTTAGGGTTCATGCCCACCCCTCGCTGAGAACCCTAAGCCTCAACCCCTCAACCCTAAACTGGGTTGTAGTTTAGGGGCCCTTCAAACTATTTATGAAAAGTACCTCTATAGAGACCATAAACGGGATTTTAACAGTTTCCCAAACCGCTACATAGTAAGCAACTCTAGGAGAACCGCATAAAATCCGTACGAAGACTCCTCGCGCCCCTTTTTGAGGCCCAGCCCCGCTCTCTGCTGCTGCTGCGTTGTCCAACACATCAACACAACTGATCTGGGGGTCTCTGCTGGTTTTCGTGGGGTTGGTTCTTCTGTAAGCTTTACATGTGTTTCAAACTTTACGCGTGGTTTAAGATGTTGATGAGTTTAGGGGCGTTAAAGTAAGGCTAATCTTTCGAGGGTTCTTAGACTAAGAAACCTACAGGTCAGGTGATAACTTGGAGATCCTTGTTTCTGAAGCTCCCACATCAATGCAGCCGGTCTCCAACACGACGAGGTGGGCTTCAGTGCCTTAGTGGGCTTCGAGGGGGTTCGTGGGTTCAATTATAGCCAAACTCGTAAGCTAATTATTATGGGGCCTAGCTACTCGAATAAACCTTGCAACCGCTTGAGGTACTCCCAAGACCTGCAGGCTCGGCGCTATGACAATGGTGCTGCAAAGCTGATGCCGCCAGCCGTGCCTCCCTCAACCCAAAGCTGACAGACGGAAGGGAAAGAAGCTGAGCCACTGTCGGGCAGTCCTCCCGCCTACTAGTGAGATGCATAGATCTATCAGGTTTAAACCACACAACCTAAACCTCTGACAAGGCTGCACGGCAACCCGACTCAAGAAAACCCTAAATCCTACATCCTAAACCCTAAACTGCTACAAGCCAGGGCCCTCAACCTGCTATCGAACCCCAGCAGCCCCACACACTTAAACAATCTGAAGAATGTAATTTGCGCCATTTTCACCCCAAACAAACCCGGTAAGCATGAACCCCTAAACCCCTAAGCCCCTAAAACCCTAAACCCCGAAGCCCCTAACACCCTAAAGAATGCAAACAAAAACATGATCATCCCTACAAACGAAGCCCCCAAGCCCCGAAGACCCTAAAAACCCCTAAAGAATGTATTTGCGCCATTCATACCCTTAAACCCCTAAATGCCTGAACCCTAAGCCCTACGAAAATGCCACCCCAAGCTGCGGCGCCAAAGGGTCGCAGGTCCGCCTCCCGGCTCAGGTTTCGGAAGAAGACCTGTGCGAGGAGGAGGGGCTCGGAAGGGTAGGGAGGTTTAGGGTTTAGGGTCTAGGGTTTAGGGTTTAGGGTTTAGGGTTTAGGGTTTAGGGTTTAGGGTTTAGGGTTTCGGGTTTAGGGTTTAGGGTTTAGGGTTTGGGGTTTAGGGTTTAGGGTTTAGGGTTTAGGGTCTATAAGCTCATTCTACAAGGGTGGACCTGAGACTTGTTAGTCTCAGGGTAGTTGCATGGTCCCTTGACATGGGGCCCTTGATTGCGGAAACCTTGTATACCTCTTAGATACCCTCCCAGAAGACCCGGGCCCATACTGGAGAACCCTCTAACGTAAGGGACAATGTTAAGGGACCATGTCACTTCCCTTCGATTAAGGCTCGGCTCAATGGATGAGGTCTTACCCCGAAAAGCCAAAAACTGAGGGCGCCAAGCGATTCTTTCGAAGCTGCTGCGAGCCCCGGAGGCTCTAAGACGACCTTCCTACAGGCCCGCAGACGTGCACGCAAGCAAGGCCGAAAGCCCTGACTTTTTGGGGAAGCCTTGTATGATTTTCCTTAGACTCTAAACCCTAAATCAAATCCTAAAGCCTAAGCCCCAAACCCGAAACCTGTCAATTGGGAGGCCCTTAGCATGTGCGGAGCTGCGGGGGTAAAGAGTCCAGTGCGCAAGAGGTGGGGAAGGAGAAAGAGAACGCTCTCCTGCCCTTGCAGATTGGCGCAACTTAGCTTGGGAAAACCGCGGCTTCAAGGCCTCAGGAGGTGTTGAGGTTCAGGGGAGTTACAAGTCCCTTAACAAGAGCAAGACCCGGCCCAGCCCAGGCCTCGCGCTGGGCCATCGTGCTGAGTGCCGTCAGTCGGATGAAGCCCCGCCCTCCTCGGGAGATGGGGAAGCCCACAGAGCCAGGCCGAATCCAGCGCAGGGTTAGCCCCGTAAGCCCGAGATGTTTGCTCGCCGGCCCCCCCAATGTCGGCTCTCAAACAAAAGAACTCCAAGGCACTGGTTCTGGGGTCTGAAGGATTGGGGTCACAAAGTAATGGCTGACGCTGAAAGGTAGGAAGTCTCACCTGCTCTCGGCTGGGCTGGTAAGATCCGATTCTTATGGGCCACGCCCTGAACCTCAAAATACAACAGAGTCTTGCGAAAAGAAGCCCAACTCAGGCTGAACTTTAAGGTTTCCATTGGAAACACGCTACAGATAAAAGTTTCTGCCACTCCCGAGGCCCAGGCTGCATGCTCGGCAGCTTCTGTAGGTCCTGCACATTGGATTTACGGCTGTCGGTTTAGGGTTAGGGAGGAAGGGGCACTAGATATGTAGGGTAGTCGTACGGTAGCAGTGAGAGGTGTGCCAGGGTCAAGCGTTTCAGGCTTAGGGCCTTCAAGCCCGGACGAAGGAAAAAATGCTGCTGTCCTGTCGGGTCTGCAAGGCGGGCCAACAGGTGCAATACCTGGTCCATCTTGCGATCCATCACCTTTTGCACCCAGGAGCTTGAGGAGTCCAAGCCCAAGCATAGTGGATATTGAGGAATGATGTACCGATGCCATGAAGAGACTGCACTGACACTACATACGAACCCTGGCGAGGTGACCTTGCTACGGGTCCAGGACCGCGATCTCATGCTACCATTCCTGCTGATTAGGATGGCTGCAGGCTGACTCGTGGTGCTCTTGCGCAGGAGCCAACATTCGCAAGCGTTGCCGAAGGGGTTTCAAGGCCACGGGATACCCTGGAGCAGTGGAGCCTGAGTTGGGGCTTAGGGCTCAGGGATTATCAGTTTTAGGTGCCAGGGGGGCGTGAGACCCAAATGCCCAGACTTTCAAACCCCTACACCGCTGCCCTAAACTCTCCCAGCCAGCCTCTTGCTTGGCCTCCACTCGCTTGATTTGCTCCTGCTGCACCTCAGGGATTCGCGAACTTGGAAGCTGCTGCCAGGTGGGGTGTGGACCGTCCCACGAAAAATAAGTAACCTTGCCCCCCGCAACGGCAACCCCGAAACAACAAACAGGAATCCTGGTTCTGGAATGCCCAAGAAGAAATGCTCCTCTGAATAATTGTGTGTTGTAGGAAGGACGTTAAGTATACTGCTTGTTGTAACAAATTGCAGAAGAAATGCAACGCAGCACATACTCCATGCACCTCTTCCATAGGGAGTTTCCGCAGAGATGTGCTGCCGCAAACCCTTCCGCATGCTTCCGTGGCCAGATTGACCGCAAAAACGATGTGCAAGTGCCGAAACTCCTACAATCACCTGAACCTCAAACCCAACCCGGGACTCTCCCGTCTCTCGCCCGGCACCCGGACCAAAATAAAGGAGGAACCTTGAACTTGGACAGCTGCCCCAAAAATCCCCTAAGCCCAAGAGCCGCTAAATGCCCCAACTCTAAACCCTACACCCTAAGCAACCCCATAAACCCTATAATTGCCCTATAAGCCCTACAAACCCTGTAACCCTGAATACCCCTAGATCCCGAACTCCCCAAACACTGAGACTCTCCGGACCAGCCTCCTGCTTCGCCTTCACTTGCTGGATTTGCTCCTGTTGCCGAGCAAAGTTACGTGGGTAGCTCTCTAAATCAGGGTCCCTTTTTGGGTCCTATATATAGTACAGCACCCTTCGAAGAAGGACCCCAGAAGAGGACCCTAATTTAGAGAACTACTCACATGACCCGGGCAGAGTTTAGAGTTCAGGGCTCAGTGTGCTTGCAGCTGAGGGCACTTCAGACTTTGAGCTTCTGCTAAACAACTGCCCCAACGACGAGCCGCTATCTGTCTTACAGCGTCTACCGTCTACCAGACAAGCATTGGGGTTTGGGGACATGGTCGGAGAGAAAGAGAGAGAGAGAGAGAGAGAGATAAAGAAAAAAAAACATATACATATATAGAAACATATGTATGTATGTATATATATATATATATACATACATACAAATATAAATATAACATGGCCCAGCGCCTCCTGCTTCTTCATCTGCTCCTGCAAACATTGACAAAGGCACCAAAACATCATTGACGTGAGGCGAAACTTAGGTATCACCCTACAAACCCTGAAAACCTTGTTCATCCTGAACACCCCAAACGCTGGGACTCTCCGGACCAGCCTCCTGCTTCGCCTTCACTTGGTGGATTTGCTCCTGCTGCCGAGCAAAGTTATGTGACCACAGGGCGGAGCTCTGAGAGTTCGGGGCTTCATGTCGGTTCTCGCAGCGTTGAGGGCGCTTGAGACTTCGAGCTTCTGCTCAACTCCGGCCGCTAGCGGTTCCAGTGCTCCCAAAAAACACCCTCGACAGGCGATCCAAGCAGAAGCAGCGACCTTGCTCTTGATTTGATATCTACCCCAGACAAGCAGGTTTGGGGACATGGCCGGGGGACACAGCGGAAGAAAAGAGCCCTGCGCCTCCTGTTTCTTCATCTGCTCCTGCGAGCGGTGACAAAAGCACCAAAAGCACCAAAAGCACCAAAAGCACCAAACCGTCGTTGATGTGGGGCTGAAGTGTGGTCACCGAGGAAGCTTCGCACAGTTCCGAGAGCTGCTGGGGTAAGGCTTGCTGCTAACCCACCCCACGATACTTCAGGGAGAGTGTTCTCAGCACTCATAGGAACCGAAGCCCCAACTTGCCCATGCTCCGGAAAGCCAATATGTGAAACACTGCACTCTGAAGATCTCCGGAAGCCCCAAGACCCGATATATGGCTTCTACCCAACTCTAAACCCGCTTACGTGCCATCGACCCGGAAACGCCCTCTGCCACGCACCGCAAAAAAAATGCTCTAGCTCCCTAATCCCCTGAACCCCCAAGCCTGACCTTCCTGCTGCTACAGAGAGCTTAGGCTCTGCGGCCGCGGGCGCTGCTTACTCCCACATGACCAATCTAAACCAAAAAGCTTGTTCTCAGAAGGTTCCGATGCCCACACCCTATAACCCCCACCGATAAGCCGCCCTGACTGTGGGCCCTGGTCAGCGCGTCCTGCATCTCCGTCCTCACCACCGCGCGCAAGCTCCGGACCTCGTCCGCGGGAGGAGCATCGCGGCAGAGAATCCAGATGCGGCAGTCTCTGGCATCTGCGTATCCATCGTCTCCGTGGAACCCAAGGGCAGTGCGAAGCGTAAAGGACATGCCCTGGTACTTGAAAAAGACTCCCAAGGAAAGGAAGACCAGCAAGGCAGAGAGTGAGATCGCAAAGACCAATGGCCAGAACGGCACCATCAAGATGCTCAACTTCGGCGGCATGTACTTCGCGACGCACACTTTTATGATGCGCACACCTCGCCTAGGCTTCACGTGGAGGACCACAGCCAACGGCAGCAATGGCAACAGACAGCCACAGGCCTGAATAGGGCTGAGCTCAGGGTCGAACCGCATTCGACCAAGAGGAGCCTTAGTGGTTGTCAAGTGACGGTCAAGGCTGAACGAATCACAAGCCACGGCTATCTAAAGTACCTGCGCATCCTAGAGCTGAAACCCTAGAGTTCCTCGATCGTTGACAGCTCATACCAAGCTTACTTGAAAGACGATATGCCTCTTGAGCGTCCAGCTTCGTAGTCTCTTGAGCAGACCATCATGCTGCTAGGTACCAGAGTGGTGCTGCATCTCTGAACGGCTAGTGCACTTAACATGCTGCATCACACTGGTCGCATTCACTGGTAGTGTTGCCAGGGGGCCTTGCTTGTACAGGGCCATGCCCAAGGCCGACCTTGCAGCTGCAGAAGCATTTTAGCCCGTGCACGCTGGAAGAGGATCTCGCTGCGTTCCTGGTAGAGCTCGAAGTTTTGGCCAAGGACGGCAATCAGGACATTCATCAGGAGGATGGTGATGCCAAAGCCGGTGAAGTAGAACAGCGCGTGCGCGGAGACGTAATGCGACCCGGGCTCTGGGTCCTCAGGTTCCAATTCCAGCTCATCGGTGTCATTCTTGCGCCGCAGGGTGGGGTCCAGGCCCTCGAACTCAAAGAGGTCGAAGTCGCCAAACAATCCTAATCTGACGACCTGCATTACAGCGGCGTACATGGGGGACGGTTCATCTCGCAGCTCCAGGTTGTAGTAGGCATGCGCTGCCGCGGCAAGGCAAACCCCAGTAAGGAAAAAAAAGGCAAAGGTGTCCTTCAGTGCTGCTAAAATTGGGAGCAACCGGGGGCCCATGAAGGACTCACCCCTTAAGCTGTACAACGCTTTGAGCCACCCCATGGCACAGAACACAGCCATGAGTGGCTTCTCGAGTTCACGGGTTCCAAGCGCGAGCTGGCGAATTATGGCAAGCCAACCCACGAGGAGGTAGCCCACATCCGAAAGGTTGTCGAAGTCCATCTCTGGCAAGCGTCCTTTGCAGATGTGGCCCAGGTATTGCCACAGCTCCTGCCAGAACTTAATGCTACTGGTCATGGAATCTCCTGAAGATTTCTACTGCTGTGCAGTGTACTGACAAGCTCCTCACTCGTCCTCTTCGCATGTAAGACCGCCACAGCATACAGGTACCACTCAGACCTCAATCACCACACAACTTGCGTGGCCAAAACAGCAAGACTGGCCTCAGTCGATTGCGTGACAAAAACAGCCAGGTAGGCCTCGGCCGGGAACATACAGGTAGCGACCAGCACATAACGTCTGAGCGCCGTGCGACTGCTGTCCATGCCGAAGGGCATGAGATGCGGCCACCAAAAGGAGCAAACTCACAATGCCAAGGGTGACATCGAGCGCTGTCCAAACACGGCACTGCTGCCACGCAGCAGAGACCACTGCGATCACTGCATCCTCCTGCAATGCATCCTCGTTTGTCGTCTGGGCCACACTCTGCAGGAACGAGGGGTCGCAGGCATCCGAGCCGTGAAGGGCATGCAGGAACTTGAGGCTGGCGGCCACTTCTGTGGCATGGATGACGTTCTGCTGCGAAAGGTCAATGTCCTCTGCGCACACCCAGTGTTCCTGGGTGCAAAGACGCAACAAGGAATTCGCCTTCAAGGGCTTTGGCAAATTTGAGTGCGGCACCAACTCACTGCCAACCGGGTCACTCCAGAGGTGGCTGTTATCTTTTCTGGAGCCAAGACTGTTCGCAGTGCGCCACTCAACGCGGCTCGATCCACCACCTACATACAGGGACACATGCTTCGAAGTAGACAGCATTGCGTTCAATGGACTTGAACGGCTGGGGAAGGGCAGGGAGGCAGGGAGAGACGGAGCAAGACCGACAGGCAGCATCATGTTTCGAAAGAGGGGTGCTCTAAGTTTCACGTTCAGACAGTTTGCCAAGCATGGCTATAATTACGTGATAGTGCTGCCGGTTGTGCTCACCAAAACAGCTTGCAAGCCTGAAGATGATTGCTACAACGGCCGAAGAACAAGCAAAAACACGGCTCGAACTGCACAGTAGGCAAAGGCTCGACTGCGCTGACACGTTTCGTGGACCCCGGGTTGGGTACACATGGTACACGTTTCTCGCCGGCCCTTTCATCCTCATGGCAGCATGACAGTGTGACAATGGTGTCCAGAGCACAGTACAAAGCAACAAGACGTCTCCTTCACAGGCACTGCTGCGGCAGATCTGTGCCCTGCCTTGGCCACTTTATCGCCTTGCTCTCCAGCAGCGCTGGCAGGCCATTCACTGAGCATTTGAGCTGCGTCCGGCCCTTCCTTGACAACGAGCCAGCTAAATCCAGTGATACCATAGCCCTGCACAAAGTCCACGTAGACGTTTCCCGGCTGAGCGAAGTCAAGGGGGGTCCTTCCCACACCGTCCTTGACATTGATGTCAGCCTGTCTAGGGCATCTCTTGACATATGAAAGTAAAAGGACCGCTACAAACTACACATATCTTGCATCCATAACTTCTTGGTCGGCGTGTTCCAAAGCGCTTGTCCACCCGGCTCTTATGACTAGATCTAGATCATGGCATGTAGGAGAGTTCACACGATCCACACAAAACTCTGCACGCCCCCTCTCACAAACGCGACAGCTTGGTCATGGGGCCCAGGTGCGATCAGGCGACAATGAATGACAGCAATTACCGACTTCCAATGAAAAAAAAAAACACTGCGTCAACACCCGATGACCTTGCTTGCGACACTGAGTCTTTGAAGTCCTGAACCTGGAGCTCCACAATCCCCTAAACTCCGTCGCTCGATCTCACCAGCACTTAGTCGGCCTTGCGCTGAAGGTGCCGTAGCACACAAACCCCGTCACTTGTATTTACACACTCTCTGTCAATCCACAGCTCTTCTCAGCTTCCGCCCTGCCTTGTGCTCAAAGAGCAGCCGCACCACCTCCACGGGGCCGGACTTCGCAGCACGGTGAAGGGCCGTCTGCTTCCAAACGTCTTTGGCTTCCACATCCACCTGGCTTGGGGTCAAGGCATGATACCGGCTCAAAGCCGGGAGTGGAATGCTGCAACACGGAGCAAACCCCCCTCGTGCACACCGTCTCAGAATGGATGGAGATGGATGGAATAAGCAATATGCATTGGCTCAAGGACTCAACGGGCTTGTGGGAAACTGCACGGAGAACATCCCCGCTCACTGATAGCTCTTTTTCACAAGAAGCGAGTGCACGCTCACAAGCTCTTTTGCCAATATGAACTGCACGAAATGGCAAGTCCTTGGCGAGAACCACTGCAAATTTGGGCGTTGCCTCTGAAAGACGAAGGAGCCGCAGCACGCAAACCACCGTTCTTGTATTTACACAGTCTCTGTCAATCCACAGGCCGTGGCGCTGAGAAGCGAGTGCATATGCAGTGCACGACATGGCAATACCTTGGCGAGAACCTCTGACAACTTGGGCTGCCTCTCAAGCCATCCTCACCCCCCCCCCCTCCAATTTGCTCTCCGCATGGATGGAGATGGATGGAATGCAGTGACTCAAGGGACTGGACGGACTTTTTGGGAAACTGCGCGGAGACAACATCGACGCTTACCGATACCTCTGCACGACCCCTCTCACAAGCCCGACAACTTGGCTATTGGGCTCGGGTACGATCAGGCGACAATGACTAGCAGCTCATGGTTCTAGACATACTAGTAAAAGAACTCTCTGCGTCAACGCCCGATGACCATGCTTGCCACACTGAGTCCTGAAGTCCTGAACCTGGAACTCCGCTATACCGGCTATACTCTGAACTCCGTCGCTCGATCTCATCAGCATTGAGCCCGCCTTGCGCTGAAGGTGCCGTAGCACACAAACCCCGTCACTTGTATTTACACACTCTCTATCAATCCACAGCTCTTCTCAGCTTCCGCCCTGCCTTATGCTCCAAGAGCAGCCGCACCACCTCCACGTGGCCGGACTTCGCAGCACGGTGAAGGGCCGTTTCGTTCCAAACGTCTTTGGCTTTCACATCCACCTGGCTTGGGGTCAAGGCATGATACCGGCTCAAAGCCGGGAGCGGAATGCTGCAACACGGAGCAAACCCCCCTCGTGCACACCGTCTCAGAATGGATGGAGATGGATGAACATGCAGGGCTTCACGGGACTCAACGGACTTTTTGGGAAACTGCACGGAGAGAACATCGGCGCTCACTGATAACTTTGCATGCCCCCTCACAAGCCCGACAACTTGGTCATGGGGCTCAGGTGCGATTAGGCGACAATGAGCAACAGCTCATAGTTACAGCACACTGCCAGAACGCCCATGACCGTGCTTGCGACACTGAGTCCCGAAGTCCTGAACCTGGAACTCGGCAACGCCCTAAACTCCGTCGCTCGATCTCACCAGCACTTAGCCACCTTCTAGGCCTTGCCGCAGCAGGCAAAACCCCCTCTCTTGTATTTACACCGTCTCTATCAATCCACAGCTCCTCTCAGCTTCCGCCCTGCCTTATGCACCAAGAGCAGCCTCACCACCTCCACGTGGCCGGACTCCGTGGCATGGTGAAGGGCACACTCTCCAAACAAGACCTTGGCTTCCGCATCCACCTGGCTCAGGGTGAAGGCATGATACCGGTTCCGGGGGCAGAGTACCACAACACGCAGTAAACTCAGTAAACCCCAAATGGACATCATCTCAGAATGGATGGAGATTGATGGAGACGGATGGAATATCCAGTGGCTCATGGGATTCAACGGACTTTGTGGGAAACTGCAAGGAGAGAACATCGGCGCTCACTGATAACTTTGCACGCCCCCCTCTCAGCAAATTGGTCCTGGGGCTCGGGCGCGAACAGGCGACAATGAATAACAGCTCATAGATACAGACCCCAATGAAAGGACACACTGCCAGAACGCCCCATGACCGTGCTTGCGACACTGAGTCCCGAAGTGCTGAACCTGGAACTCGGCAACGCCCTAAACTCCGTCGCTCGATCTCACCAGCACTTAGCCACCTTCTAGGCCTTGCCGCAGCAGGCAAAACCCCCTTTCTTGTATTTACACCGTCTCTATCAATCCACAGCTCCTCCCAGCTTCCGCCCTGCCTTATGCTCCAAGAGCAGCCGCACCACCTCCACGTGGCCGGACTTCGCAGCACGGTGAAGGGCCGGATCGTTGCAAACGTCTTTGGCTTCCGCATCCACCTGGCTTGGGGTCAAGGCATGATACCGGCTCAAAGCCGGGAGCGGAGTGCTGCAACATGGAGCAAACCCCCCTAGTGCACACCGTCTCAGAATGGATGGAGATGGATGGAATAAGCAATATGCATTGGCTCAAGGACTCAACGGGCTTTTGGGAAACTGCACGGAGAACATCCCCGCTCACTGATAGCTCTGCACGTCCCCCTTTCACTAGCCCGACAACTTCTTCATGGGGTCAGGTGCGATCAGGCGACGATGAGTAACATTAATCACCGAATTCCACTGAAAGAACCCACTGCGTCAAAACTCGATGACCTTGCTTGCGACACTAAGTCCTGAAGTCCTGAACCTGGAACACTGCAATCCCCTAAACTCCGTCGCTCGATCTCGCCAGCACTAAGTCCAAAGCACAGGCCTTGCTCTGAAGAGCCGCAGCACCCAAACCCCCGTTCTTGTGCTTACACCGTCTCTGTCAATCCACAGCTTCTCTCAGCTTCCGCCCTGCCTTGTGCTCCAAGAGCAGCCGCACCACCTCCACGTGGCCGGACTTCGTAGCATGGTGGAGGGCTGTCCGCTCCAAATCATCGGCTTTGGAGTCCACATTTACCTGGCTCGGGGTGAAGGCATGATGGCGGCTCAACGCCGGGAGTGCAGTGCTGCAACACGAAGTAAACTGAGCAAACAAGCGCACACCATGTCAGAAGGGATGGAAATGGATGAAACGATCTCAGAAATTGTTTCGCCCAAGCAGTCTTCCCGAAAAGCGTGCACAAGTGCCACACATGACTTCTTGGTCAACGGCACGTCGCAGAGTTCCTAATAGTACGATAAATCCTCCCGAGTTTTCACAAGTCCGCAACCTTGGCTGTGGGGCCGTGGGGACTCAGAAGCGAGTGCACGCTCACATGTTCTTTTCCCTATATGCAGTGCACAAAAAGCAGCCCCTTGGCGAGACGAATTTGGGTACTGCAAACACAGGCACCCCTCCCCCTCCAATCTGCTCTCCTGAGAGACTCATCGCTATGCTCTTGTGTCACCGAGTCCTGAGGTCCTGAACCCAAAACTCCACAATGCCCCGAACTCCGTCGATCGATCTCATCAGCACTTAGCTTCCTCTGAAGGAGTCCTAGCACGCAAACCCCCTTCTTTGCATTCACCCATTCTCTATCCATAAACAGCTCCTTTCAGCTTCTGCCCTGCCTTGTGCTCAAAGAGCAACCGCACCACCTCCACGTGGCCGGACCGCGCAGCATGGTGAAGGGCTCTGAGCTCATAATCGCCTTTGGCTTCCACATCCACCTGGCTCGGGGTGAAGGCAGGATACCAGTTCAAAGCCGGGAGCGGGGTGCCGCAACACGCAGTAAAGCTCACATGCACACCGTCTCAAAATGAGAATGGATTGACATGGACGGAATATGCCAGTGGCTCTACAGACTGAACGGACTCTTTGGGAAACTGCACGGAGAATCTCGATGCTCACTGAGAACTCTACACCACCCTCTCAGCAGCCCGACATCTTGGTCATGGGGCTCGGGTGCCATCAGGCGGCACTGCGAAACTTCTAATGGCTACCGACTTCCGATGAAAGAACCACTTCGTCCACGCCCGATGACCTTTCTTGCGACACACCCGGAACTCCGCAAAACCCTAACCTAAACTGCATCGAGCCCCGTTTCTTGTAAGCACCCAATTCTCTATCAATAAACAGCTCCTCTCGGCTTCCGCCCTGCCTTGTGCTCCAAGAGCAGCCGCACCACCTCCACGTGGCCGGACTCCGAAGCAAGGTGAAGGGCCGGATCTTTGCCAACGTCTTTGGCTTCCGCATCCACCTGGCTTGGGGTCAAGGCATGATACCGGCTCAAAGCCGGGAGCGGAGTGCTGCAACATGGAGCAAACCCCCCTAGTGCACACCGTCTCAGAATGGATGGAGATGGATGGAATAAGCAATATGCATTGGCTCAAGGACTCAACGGGCTTTTGGGAAACTGCACGGAGAACATCCCCGCTCACTGATAGCTCTGCACGTCCCCCTTCACTAGCCCGACAACTTCTTCATGGGGTCAGGTGCGATCAGGCGACGATGAGTAACATTAATCACCGAATTCCACTGAAAGAACCCACTGCGTCAAAACTCGATGACCTTGCTTGCGACACTAAGTCCTGAAGTCCTGAACCTGGAACACTGCAATCCCCTAAACTCCGTCGCTCGATCTCGCCAGCACTAAGTCCAAAGCACAGGCCTTGCTCTGAAGAGCCGCAGCACCCAAACCCCCGTTCTTGTGCTTGCACCGTCTCTGTCAATCCACAGCTTCTCTCAGCTTCCGCCCTGCCTTGTGCTCCAAGAGCAGCCGCACCACCTCCACGTGGCCGGACCTCGTAGCATGGTGGAGGGCTGTCCGGTCCACATCATGGGCTTTGGAGTCCACATTTACCTGGCTCGGGGTGAAGGCATGATGGCGGCTCAACGCCGGGAGTGCAGTGCTGCAACACGAAGTAAACTGAGCAAACAAGCGCACACCATGTCAGAAGGGATGGAAATGGATGAAACGATCTCAGAAATTGTTTCGCCCAAGCAGTCTTCCCGAAAAGCGTGCACAAGTGCCACACATGACTTCTTGGTCAACGGCACGTCGCAGAGTTCCTAATAGTACGATAAATCCTCCCGAGTTTTCACAAGTCCGCAACCTTGGCTGTGGGGCCGTGGGGACTCAGAAGCGAGTGCACGCTCACATGTTCTTTTCCTATATGCAGTGCACAAAAAGCAGCCCCTTGGCGAGACGAATTTGGGTACTGCAAACACAGGCACCCCTCCCCCTCCAATCTGCTCTCCTGAGAGACTCATCGCTATGCTCTTGTGTCACCGAGTCCTGAGGTCCTGAACCCAAAACTCCACAATGCCCCGAACTCCGTCGATCGATCTCATCAGCACTTAGCTTCCTCTGAAGGAGTCCTAGCACGCAAACCCCCTTCTTTGCATTCACCCATTCTCTATCCATAAACAGCTCCTTTCAGCTTCTGCCCTGCCTTGTGCTCAAAGAGCAACCGCACCACCTCCACGTGGCCGGACCGCGCAGCATGGTGAAGGGCTCTGCGCTCACAATCGCCTTTGGCTTCCACATCCACCTGGCTCGGGGTGAAGGCAGGATACCGGTTCAAAGCCGGGAGCGGGGTGCCGCAACACGCAGTAAACCTCACATGCACACCGTCTCAAAATGAGAATGGATTGACATGGACGGAATATGCCAGTGGCTCTACAGACTGAACGGACTCTTTGGGAAACTGCACGGAGAATCTCGATGCTCACTGAGACCTCTACACCACCCTCTCAGCAGCCCGACATCTTGGTCATGGGGCTCGGGTGCCATCAGGCGGCACTGCGAAACTTCTAATGGCTACCGACTTCCGATGAAAGAACCACTTCGTCCACGCCCGATGACCTTTCTTGCGACACACCCGGAACTCCGCAAAACCCTAACCTAAACTGCATCGAGCCCCGTTTCTTGTAAGCACCCAATTCTCTATCAATAAACAGCTCCTCTCGGCTTCCGCCCAGCCTTGTGCTCCAAGAGCAGCCGCACCACCTCCACGTGGCCGGACTCCGCAGCAAGGTGAAGGGCTCTCTTCTTTGAATTGTCTTTGGCTTCCACATCCACCTGGCTCGGGTTAAGGCATGATACCGGCTCAAACGATCAGGCGACAGTGAGTGACGTCACATGGTTACAGTCCACTCAACAACTTCCACAAAATAATCTGTGCCATTGAGTGCCTGAAGTCCTAGATTCGGAGTTCTGCAACTATCGTTTGCAACAATTAGCCAACTTATTGACGTGGAAGAATGCACGCTCGCACGTTCTTATGCTGCGCACGACTTGGCGATGGCGCGGAAACTTCGACATTGCCTCTTATACACAGCCGTCTTTCCCTGCCAAAAGACTCAGAGCCCTATGCTCTTGAAGTCCTAAGCCCGGAACACCGGCATGTTTCCGCACTCGGCACTTCGCCCCCAGGCCTTGCTCTCCAGGAGCCGCCTGACCTCCTCCAGCTGGCCCTCTTTCGCTGCCCGGCGAAGCTCCTCCTCCATCTCTCGAGCCTCCAAAGGCAGGGAGGAGCAGGCTTCGGGATTTTCCGGGCCATAAATCCCAACACCAGCCAATCTTCGACTCTGCAGGCACAAGCTGCGCCCTTAACGTAAGCATCTCGAATCAGGGCAAAAGCAACATGAACTCGTTGCTTCGGGCTTATGCAAATTTCGGCCAAGTCTGAGCTGACAACACCCCAGCATTCGCACTCTTTGCTTGGGTTGTTTGGCCGAAGATTCCTGGGCCCGAAGCCGGATACCCTTCAAGACGTGCTGAGACTCCATTTCAGGGCCCTGAGGGAAGGTGTCTTCTTATAGCTGCAGAAAAAAAACTTGGGAGGATGAGATGAAGGATCTAAGGTGTCAAGTCCGTGGCAGAGACAGCTTATGCAGTATACATGCATTGCTCCATCGTGGCATTCGAGATTAGGCTATGTATAGGCATCTCAATTAACCAGCCCTCCGACCTCCTCTGCAGAATGTGCGGGCCCAGTCCTTTGCTGGGAACTGCTATGCGCCGCAACATTGGTCAGGAACGACCCTGTGTTTTCCCAGATGTGTTTGGCCTATCGTCCAGCGAATCTAAGAATTTCTGTCGGGCGACGAGAACCGGGTCTAGAAACGCAAGCAAGAGTACAAGCGACGACGCAAACTTTGATTCCGGCTTGCTTTTCAGAAAGGCCTTTCACAAGCCAGGATCTCAACATGACCAGGCGAGATTCTGAAGCATCTCAGTACAGCTCTCACCCAGGCATGCTGGCAAGCACACAGGTAACACGGAGGGGCATGAGCGAGGATGTTGCCAAACTTCTATCTGCTGCCCAAGGGGCCTCATCTCCTGCGATGGCTTGTGTTTCTCCTGTGCTTGTGAGCCAAGGCAGAAATGCTGAACCCTGAGACACACCTCGCCCTCTAGCTGTATGGTACACTGACCCGCCCTCATGTTTCTCATCGGAAACGTTCAACAGCTTACACATAGCTTACACACTCACCTTCTGAAAAATTAAGGGGGCCCCGAAAGGCAGGGAGGCCGGAAATGGCCGGAAAACGTTGCGCCCCGACTTGCATCCGGGCTCTTAAATATGGCATGTAGGAGTGTGTCATGTCAAGTCGCAAGCATGGACTGTGACAAAGCCCAACACTCGGCGGTTGGTTGAACAGCGACCAGGCGTTTGCAACCCTGCGATCATCAGGGCATCCCCCCCACAGCCCTGGCCACTTTCGCTTGCGGCCCGAACTCCCCCTCCCATGCCTTGAGCCCGGGGCCCCTGGAAACCCGTTCTTGCAGGGACCTTCTTGATGAATCTGCAGATCTCCTCGGCGTCTTTCGCCACGTACTTCTGTTTTCATCTTTCGACCGCTCCCTTTCTGCAGCCCCCCCACGGCTGGCGATACCGCCTTTCGGTAGACTCAGTGGCCGACGCAAGGTGGCGCAAGGGTGGGCATGAGATCACGTTCCGCTTCACTTGCACCATTTTGGAACCACGCGAGCGTGAATGAGTCCAAGGAAAGCCCTCCATGCAAAAACCCTCAACCCTCAACCCTCAAACCCTCAACCCTAAAAACCCTAAAAACCCTCAAAACTCAACCCTCAAACCCTCAACCCTAAAAACCCTAAAAACCCTAGAAACTCTAAAAACCCCAGAAACCCTAAAAACCCCAGAAACCCTAAAAACCCTAGAAACCCCAGAAACCCTAGAAACCCTAAAAACCCCAAAAAACCCTAGAAACCCTAAAAAACCCTAGAAACCCTAAAAACCCAAAAAAACCCTAAACCCTCAACCCTCAACCCTAAAAACCCCCAAAAACCCTAGAAACCCCAAAAACCCTAAAAACCCCAGAAACCCTAGAAACCCTAGAAACCCTAGATAGAAACCCTAAAACCCCTAGAAACCCTAGAAACCCTAGAAACCCTAAAAACCCTAGAAACCCTAGAAACCCTAAAAACCCTAGAAACCCTAGAAACCCTAGAAACCCTAAAAGCCCTAAACACTAAACCCTAAACCCTAAGCCCTAAATCCTAAACCCTAAACCCTAAGCCCTAAACCCTAAACCCTAAACCCTAAGAGCTCACCCAAACGAAGGCCCGAGGCTTGGCTATCGGGTCTCCTCATTGGCCTCAGCCTTCTCCGAGGCTTCGGATGAGGCTCCAGGATCCTCAGCTCGAACCCTTCAGGGGTTTAGGGGTTTAGGGTTTAGGGTTTAGGGTTTAGGGTTTAGGGCTCCAGGATCCTCAGCTCGAACCCTTCAGGGCTTCTAGGGGCGTTCAGGGCCCTGTTTTGGGGTTTTTTGGGGCTTTTTGGGTGGTTTGGGGGGCTTTTCAGGGTTTTTCCGGGTTTTTGAAGGTTTTTAAGGGTTTTTAGGGTTTGGGGTCTTTTAGGGTTTCAGGGCTTGAGGGTTTTAAGGGCTTCAGAGTTTCAGGGTTTTTGGGTCTCAGGGTTTAGGGGGGCTTTTGGGTTGTCAAGGGTTTCAGGGCTTTAGGGTTGTTGAGGGCTTCAGGGATGTTAGAGTTTTGGACTTAAGGGATGTAACGATTTGCGGGTTCAGGGTTGGGGTTTCGGGGTTGGGGTTTTTTGGGATTTGGGGTTGAGGATTTAAGGGCTCGGGGTCGTGTCAACAGGGCCTTCTCATGTAAAGTTCCGGGGCGCGGGCGGGGTGGGAGGGGGGGGCTTCTGGCTTCGAAGGGCTTTGCGGGTTTCGGTCGTTCAGAGTCCTGTCCCAAATACGTGGCAGCTCGTGGCCACAGGTTTGAGTAGAAAGCTCCAACAAATCTTCGAAATTCCAGCGTCTCATGCCCTACGAACGTGTCAGGCGATCTAGGGTGTGCCTGGTCGTCACTTCCGTCATCGGCGCCAGATCCAATGATCCTCAGCCACGATCTGGGGAGCTTGGTTCGGGTTCGTAGCGGGATGCGCAACAGCGATGATGCTAATCATGCTGTCGCCCGACTGAAATATGATGTGCCGCCTGCACCTCTGCTGCCCAAGGGGCCCCGCCGGCTCCTTCGCCAGCTCATGGGTCTCCTTGTGAGCACGGCTGCGAAAACCCTAAACCTGAGACCGCACCCTGACATCTAGGTTTTCATTTAGCTCAATTATAAAATCATTACTGCTACTGCTTTGGGGCAGTCTTTCGCCACTATCAACAAGCACCTTAATTTACGATTAGAAAGCATGATTAATTAATGTTAGACTTTTTTATAATTAATATTCAAGTTAATGGCAGGTGTGAATGTAGGTGTCAGAGTAGCAGAAACATTACGAGGGTTACAAACAGCAAGGGAAGGAGGTGGATTAGCCTGAGAGATAGACGTGCAGATGCATGCAGATTGCGTTTTATCGCAGAATAGACCGAAAAAGCCCAAACACTGATCACACCGACCTAAACGATCGCCTACTGATAGAATCCGCCCTGCAATCTGACCCAAACTTCATGAATTTGCAAATCTTCTCATCTTCTTCTGGCAAGACCTTTGGGGGCATAAGAATCTGGGAGCGCGTGCATGACAACGACCTCATGCGAGAGAGTTGCCACCAAGATGAATCACAGCTTCTGCTTCAGAGGCTGGTAGGGGGAGGGGGGGTCAGCCAAGCCCTTGAAGCCTGTGCAACCAGGAGGCAGATGGAAAAACCCTAAAGACCCCCCAAAAACACCCATCATATCCAAAAGACCACCACGAGCAAACACCCGTACGCCTCGTGCGCCTCAAGAGGGTTGGGGTCTCCTGGTTCGCCTCAGCTTTCTCCGAAGCTTCGGCGGAGGGCTCCACATCCTGGCCCAGTTCGGCTCAAAGTCTACAATGCATTCCAGCGGGGTTCAAAGCTTAAGGCTTTTGGGTTGCACATGCGGGTTGCACTAATGCTCTATAGGCTACCACAAGGCTCAAGTCTCAAGGCATTTGGCTCGGAGGCTTAGCACGAGGATAGGGAAAAGACGAAGAACTTCTGGGTATGGCGTCATGCTGGCGATAACTCATGCAAGTGTGAGCAAACGAGAGCAAAACCTCGGCTTAACATCCCGAAACACCAACGTCGAAAAGCCCACAGCCCTGAGCCCTAAACCCGAAACCCCTAAACCCCTCAACCCCTCAAACCCTCAAACCCTCAAACCTTAACCCTAAACCCAAGCAGGTCTTAGCTTGGGCTTCGGTCTCCTCTTTGGCCTCCAATTCTTCCGCGGAGGGCTCAGGATCCTGGACCAGTTCGACTCAGTACGGTGTCTAGGTTGGCCCTTTAGCCTCTGAAACATACACATGGTCTTCATAAAAAACCCAAAAAACGGGCAATAGCATGAATGTCCCAAGGGCCTATCTAGGAGTGAGAGGAGCACATGCTGCTTACAGGCTTACATGAAAGCAGCCCCCCAAGAAAGTCCATGTTCAGATGCCAGATGCCTCGTCATGGAGAATGTCATAGTGCCCGTCAATGGCACCGGATCCAATGATCCTCAACCGCAGCTTAAGGCTTCAGGAAACGATAGGAGACTGATCGTTTGGAATCACTTCGGTCTTCATCTTTGAAAGAAACTCGGCGTCAATCAAGCATCCGGGGGCGGCTTTACAGGACCTCTAAACCCTCCCGAAACCCTAACCCCTAAACCCTACTGATAACGGTTCCAACGTTGGGCTTCGAGGTATGGCATCGGCCTGCGCAGCCACAGGCTGATGGACAGGAGGTTGAGTCATGGATTGCCGTGCTCTTTACGCATTTTTCCAACATAGGGGTACCCCTCATGTACCCCAAAATACTAACTAGCCTCATTTTTGGAACCCCTAAAAATGGGTCCTCAATTTGGAACCCATGCTTGAGCTTCTGGACACCGGTACCACAGCTTCGCATCTTCGTCAATAAAGTTTGCCAGAGCACTCCGCCCAGAGAACCCATGACAGCCTCAAAAGGGCTTGACCTCCGGAACATCAACATCAACTCGTGGCGGCCAAGGGTCTCCGGCCGGACGGCATCTGCAGGAACCTGAACCGGTTAGTGCTGTTTTTGGGGAGTGCGGTTTTCGGACGACAGCCGGATGTCCCGAAGTCCCCGAAGTTGCCCCCAGCACTGCGACCACGGGTGCCCATCCTGTCAACCCCAAGGCGCATCTTGAGGCCCTACTTGGTGAGAAGCTGTATGACTTTGGGGGATGAGGTTAAGGATCCCCCCTGTAAACAGCGGAAGGCAACAGGCTTTAACGGCAGCCCCTCCGGCCTCCTGCGCAGAATGTGTGGGCGCAGTCCTTGCTGTGAACTTTTGGACACTGCTGGGAGAAGCACTCTGCACAGACAGCCAGGAACTACGAGCGCCAAGTGATGAGCCAGATGCGTCTGGAGCATCATTCAGCCGTCTATCGACCGCTTCTCACGTGCAAGGCGGTGTTGGAACACGAGCGACCACGCAACTGCAACTTCTGGCATGAGTCTAAAACCTGACCCCAGCAGAGCTGGAATTTGCTTTCTTTTTGCTCGCCTTAGTAAAAACACACAGCTAGGTTTCTCTTGTTTTGAAAATGTGTCCTTCGCTCACATTGCGGGTTAATTGGGGAGTTAGGGTTGTTGGGGTTGCGTGTTCGGGGTTCTGGGCTTGCGGCATACTTTCTTCGGGAAGTTCCGTGGCAGCGGCTTGGCCTCCCGTGCTTTCTCTCTTAGGCCTCGCCGCCCCCGATTCTGAGGCATGTCGGCACAGTGGGGTCCACAGGAACCCAGAATAAGCTCAAACCCTAAACGCTAAACCCTAAACCCAAAAAACCCTAAACCCTAAACCCTCCCGCACCCTAAACCCTAAACCTTGGCCCCTAAACCCTAAGCCCTAAACCCCAAACACCTGAACCTGCCCAAACCAGTGCCGCCCAAGGAGCCCCGGCTCCTTGCGGCTCTTCCTGAGTGGCGAGAGCTGAAAGGCCAGAAAGTCAAAGACCCTCTCAAGCCCCTTACACGATCTCCCCAAAAGCCCGAAAGAAAGGCCGAGACATCCAAAAGATCTTCCCCAAAACGCCCCAAACCCGAAGTAAATACCCTGAAACTGCCGGCGAAACCCTCAAGAGCCCAAACCACAAATCAAACCCCAAAGGCGAGGCTCGGTCTGGACTTCACCTTGGCCTTCTTGGCTTTCTGCTTCGGCGCGGGGTCCGGGCTCCTGTTCGGCCCAGGCTCAATTCAGTGCCCTGGGCTTTTCAGGGCTTCGGGGGGTTTTGGGGATCTTGGTGTTCGGGGTGTGGCGGTGTAAGGCTTACGGGGCTTGAGTGAGGGGGGGGGAGGGCTTGGGGGCCGGGGGCTTGTGGGGGGGTGGTCTAGGGTTTAGGGCGTTAGGAGCTTCAGGGTTCTTGGGGGGGCTTCGTTGACCGGGGCGATCGACCGCTGCATGAGGCGTTCCACCCCTGAAGGGCGCGCCTGGATGTCGTATCCATGAAAGGTTCCAGATCCGATGAAGCCGGGCCCTGCCTGCAAGCCAGAGGCAAGAAACTTAAGCCGTGTCCCACCAGAAAAACACGTCCAATAAAGTATAACAGCCCAAGTATGTTGCGCATCCGACATCAAGGATGTTGGGGACGGGAGGGAAGGGGATCCTGAACATGAGGGGGCAAGACAGTGGGCCTCAAGCGGCTCGAAGAAGGGAATCAAAGACGAGAACCCCGCACGGACTAGGGCTTGGGGATAAGGTTCAGCTTAGGGTTTCTGGGCTTAGGGCTTAGGGTCTATAGGTCCCCTTGTTTCCGCGCCCAGATTGGTGTTCAGGACTCGGGAGGTACTGCCCTGATGCACCAGATTTTTCGACCCTGGAGTGAACCCACACCCTCCCCAAGCCCTACTTTGCCCTGCAGAGTTCAGGAGGGTGGAGGGTTCAGGAATTTCCTGAGCTTTTGGGTGCCGGGTGACCACGTTCGTGGGACGATCCAACTTTTACATACAGGTCTCCTCTGCCCCCTCCACACACACAATACTCAAGAAGGTCGCGGGCCTGGTCGTCGCATCCATCACAAGCGCCGGATCCGATGAACCCAAGCTCTGCCTGCAGCCACGGGTGGACGCAAGCAGCAAGTATCAAACCGCCTCCCAGCGTTGGGTTCATGCGGGCCTCAAGCAGCTCAAAGATGGCCTTTCTTAGGGTAAGGGGTAGGGCTGAGGTTCCTGGAGGGCTCGAGGGCTTCGGGTCTACGGTCCGCACAGGATGCAGACTTTGAACGCCCGAAATCCCTCCCAAGCCCGAAACTCCTCAAAAACGTCCGAGGCGCGGCGGGCCCTCCGGCCGCCCCGGATCATCCGCCATCGGAACCGCGGACTGCCCTTCCCCCCCGAAGTGCAATACCCCCACCCACTTGCCCCCGCCCCTCCTGTCCTCAGCATGCACTGCCCCAATCAATCTTAATAGAGAGTCGTGAGCATTGAGTCTCAGGAGGGGGAAGGAGGACTTCCGGTTAGTATAGTATTAGCGGTCGGGCAGTACTTCGGTGGGAAACCTTCGAAGGTGATGCGACCCCTTCTGAAAAGGACCCTGAAGAAACACCGCATCCGGATGCCGAACCGAACCTCATGGAAGGTGCCTTTGTTTTGGCAATGCCCGTGGACTCCTATGCCGTGATGTGGGGTCAGCAGCTGCACTTATATGCTGAAGAGCACAATGTTCTAACTGAAACCATCGGAAGACAGAAGTGCAGCAATACGGGGTTTAGGGTTTACCTTTTTCAGACATATATCCGGCCATTTCAGGCTACTCACGCTCAGCTTTGTTTGCTCAGCACGTCGTGCGGCTCTACCTGTGTACAAGTTCGCAACTGCGGCTCCTGGATGTGCTTGTGTGCAACTCTCATTGAGAACTCTGGAAGACTCTGCGCTTCGAGCACGGAGCGCGAGCTTTCGTGAAGCGCCAGCGTGTTCTTCGAGGGGTCCCTTACGGCAGAGTCTTGAAAACACTGCGTCCCCTTCCCCCGGCAAGCAGTCCCCGGCTTGATGCCCTCTGACCCCTCCACTTCTTTGTTGATCCACGGAATCCTGCCACTGACCCTCACAAGGCACTTCTGGTCTTATGTGCTAATTCCCTGATCTGATGCACGAAGCTCTGCTGAAAACCTTAAGACCTCCAACTTAGCACCGAAATAACCCAAATGTCCTTACAGCATCTTGCAGCTCCGACAGGTTGCCACTTTCGGCTTGGGGGCTTGGGGGGGGTGGGGGGGCTGCGCGGTCTCTTTTTTGGCCAATGCTTGCAGCTCGTGCAGTTGGGGCCCTGGCAAGAAGAGTGCCGAGGAGGCGCGCGGGTAGTTCTCTACAGAGCGATCCCCGGCTTAGCAAGAATCGCCTCCTCAAAACCCCATTCTAGCCAAGCTCAGCCTGACCCTTTCACTATTGCGATAAAGAGGGCCTTTTCATACGTCGGGCCCCTGCTTCTACACGATTTAGAGAACCCCCCCCCTCCCCTCTCGTGGTGCATGAGGATGCCGCTCCGTCTTCGAAGGCGGTCTGCTTGCGACTAGTGGCCACCTCTGGGATTCTCTGAGGTACCCCTAAGACCTGCAGGCTCGGCTCTAAACCCCAAACCCTAAACCCTAAAGAACATCATGCTGCAAACCCAACAACCTAAACCCCTGAGAAGGTCGCACGGCAACCTGACTCAACAAAAACCCTAAACCCTAAACCCTAAACCCTAAACCGCAGTTCAGGAGGATAGGCCAGGTGCGACTCCTCAGCCTGAAGCCCCCTTTATAAGGCCCTCAACCTGCCGTCAAACCCCAGCAGCCCCACACACTTAAACAACCTGAAGAATGCAATTTGCGCCATTCATCCCCAGAAAAAAACCCGTAAGCCCCCAAAAGCCGAAACCCCTAGGCCCCTAAAAACCCTAAACCCCGAACACCCTAAAGAATGTCATTGCGCTCTTCTCATCCCTATAAACCCGAAACCCCTAAACCCCTCAACCCCAAGCCCTACGAAAAATGCCACCCGAAGCTGCAGAGAATCCCAAACGGGTCGCAGGTCCGCCAACCGGGTCAGGTTTCGGGAGAACACCTGTGCGAGGCCGGGGGGCCTCCGAAGGGTGGAGGGCTTTAGGGTTTAGGGCTTAGGGTTAAGGGTTTACAAGCTCATTCAACTGAGAAGGGTTGTTACATGGTCCCTTGATTGGGGAAACCTTATAAACCGCTTGGATAGCCAATAAAACCCAAGGGACCGTACTGCAGGACCCTCTCAATGGTTCTAAGGGGGCCATATTAAGGGACCACGTCACTTCCCTTAGATGAAAGGGTCGGTATGGAGTGCGGTCTTAGGAAGAGGGCCCTCCTCCATCCGGATGCCAAAAACTGAGGGCGCCAAGCGATATTTTCGAAGCTGCGAGGAGCCGCGGAGGCTCTAAGACGACCTTCCTACAGGCCCAAAGACGTGCACGCAAGACTACGAGGCGGGTTCTCCAAAGCCCTGACTTTTTGGGGAAGCCTACTGTATGCTTTCCTTAGCCACAATTGCACGTACCCCATCAAAACGCCTCACAGCTGAGCCCAGCACCTTCGCAAGTGGCCCGGCACGAAGCTCCTCGCAGTTTGCACTGCGACAAGCATACGGGAACAACAAAATGTCACATACAGAAGGATCTTCTCGCGAACCAGTGTGCATTTGTTGTATTTGCATGTTGTTGCCACACAAGGGGGAGTTTAACTTGAACAAGCATCGTGAGCAGTTTCGACTGATGCACCCATCCGACCCCCCCCACACACGTCCGCGCCTCCACCACCAGCGCCGAAGAGTCGGTCACCTAGCAGCATCGAGAGCAGGGATCAAGTTGGAAGTAGAGGGAGGGGGGCAAGGGCTATGAAAGCACTCTAAGGGCGATTTCCATCAAGCGCCATGCTGGGCACGAAGAACTGCTTCGGTGCAAACGTTCACAGAACTGTTTAGTGGCTGGGCATTGCAAAGCACACTTGCATCATGGCCACCGCCTGTCTAGGATGATCCCTTCATCTCGCTTCAGCCTGAGACCACGACGATGTCGGCCCTCCCCCCTGACGAGCCCTCAATTTCCCCGAAGTGCCCACAAACAAGCCACGTGGTCCAGGGCCTGGCGCTACCACTTTGAGCTTGGAGGGAAGATGGGTGCAGGCTGCGACTCCTTCGCCCAGCCATCCACCCAGAAGACAGCACATCTCTACAGCGCAGTGCCTTCCCATGGTTTCGGGGGATCCGGCTCTTACCGCTACCAGCCTTGGTGCCCTTCGGCCCCATTTGAAGCTCAGACTTCGAAACCTACTTCCGAGGTCCTCGCCGTCATCACCCAGGGACTCTCTTGCAAGCTTCTGCCTGAACACCTAAGCATGGGCATAAAACAAACCCCAGCAAGCACTAGTCAAGGCTGGAAGCTTCCTGCAGAGCGGCACTGCGCAAGGCACGGCCCTTTTTTTGCTGCACAAAAACCTGCATGCGAGTGACACTAAACAGCACATCGTTCCGTAGCCTGCCTTCGACTCGTGGCCTTTCCCCTGCAAAACCTCCAGATGCCCATTGGCCGACGCACTTGGAAGACGCGTCAAAAAAGCATCTTGCGCCGTTCGAGTTGCGCTCTTGGCGATGTGCAGCCTCCTATGCCGTACAGAGCCAAGCAACTTCTGCCATCTCTCATACAATGTGGGGTTTGTTTGGGATAAGGGGGAACCTTATTGGGGGTGGGGTTCTATATTCGGAGTCTCTTATCATCGCAACACCCCAGATCTTACAGGATTTCACCTTTCTCCTCCTGGGTGGCTTGAGCGTTTACGGGCCCGGCGTCTGCCACCACGCCCAACTGCTTGGCCCAGTTGCTCCGGGCAAAGAGCTCCCCGAAGCGGCCGAGCTGCAGCAGGAGCTGCGCCGACCGGGCAGGGCGCAGCTCGATGAGGAGCCGCGCCGAAACGCCGGTGAACTTGAAGCTGGGTGGGGAGCCGCCCTGTGGATGCAGATAACCCCAGTCTTCAGAATACAGCGATCCGGATGCTGAATCGATCGCTGTCCCGCAGATCGGCCGCCGGCCTCCTGCTCCCTGGCACACGAGCGTGTGCCACGCCCGCTCCCCACCCGAACTTCGCGATCACCTGCTGCCGGATCCCGTCAAAGTCCGGATCACCTACGTCCACCACCGAAGCCCCGGGAGGAAGGTGAACAGTGATGCCGTTCATGTCACTCCCTGCTGTGGACGAGCGTGGCGACGCTGCCGGCAGCGCCTTGAAGCTCCGGCCCCGCCAACTCACGCTGTCGTCACCGTGGACAACCGCCTGGCCCTCGGCTCTCTCGGCCTTGGCCGATCCCGAAGCTTTCAGGGAGAGGTGCCCGTACACGATGTGCATCTCACCGTCCACCTTCGAGGTCCTGTAGCTGATGATGCGCACGCCGACCTTGCCATCCTCCTCTATCGGAGTCTGGAAGTAGCCACTGCCACTCCGACGGAACTGTGCAAGCAACAGCTCTTGCTCGAAGTCGTCGGACAAGTTTAGGCGCTTCTTCAGGACCTCAACTGCTTTAGGCCACCTCGAGACCTCATAGCCCTCGTGACGGATGGCTGCAACCTCCGGAACCTCCAATGTGATGCTCTGGCTGTCCAGCTCCTCTTGGGCACTGGCTAGCTCCTGTTTGGAGGGCGCCTGTCCGACCATGTCGGCCGTCGCTTGGGAAACCCACTCCACGACCTTGTCCTTGGCCTTCCTGGCACTTCGCATGACCGACTCGACCGTCGACGGGCCCTTCAACGTCAGATGAACCTCTGGCATCCCCGTGGGGCTCTGACTTGCGAGCTGACGGACGTGCGAGGGCTTGGCCATTTCCACGCGCAGTTGGGAGCCCTGGTGCTCCAGGTGGCCGTGCACGTCGAAATCCACGAAGTCCCGCCCAAGTTCCAAGAGCAGCTCAAGGATGCCCTCTTCTGCCGGGGTCCAGAGCCTCCGGCTCCCCTCCTCGGTGCTCACCACAAGCGTGCGGTTTCCAAGACCCTCCTGGAACGCCCGGTCCGTCCGTGTCACCTTGCAGAGCAGCTCTTCCGCGGCCTTCTCGCCCTCAAACTCGCTGAACTTCGCAAAGAACTCTTTCAGCTCGTCAGTCAGCGACTCCAACTCCTTAGGCTTGGGCTCCCTCCCTGCTGCAGCCAGAGCGCACAGGCACACGAGACTTAGGAAGCGGAAACCAACAGTCATGGGCGCGAATCCACGGGCCCTACTCCGTGGGCTCCACTGCGAGCGCAAAAGACTCTTGAGCCCGCGTGACTACATGGGACGGCCATGGACGATCCCAAGGCAGTGCCAAAGTGCCCCTCTCTTCGTGACAAGTGCCGTCACCACCTAAAGATATCAGCTAAGAAAGACAATGCTGCAGCGGTTCAAAGATCCTTGCTGGAAACACTGAGGACCGGACAGGAAGGAGATCGAGACTTCAAAGACTCCCACCGGGATCTCGTCGGGTTGAGTGCATCTCGGGTCTCATAATGCAGAGGTGTTCTGGTTGTCTTTTCCACAGCGCATGCCGGGCACGTCTTCTTGCAGCAACTTCGTTCCGAGCTTGGGCTGCTTCTGAAGCAGAGCGCGGCCTTCAAGCCAAAGCAAACGACTGTGTGGCCTTGCAAGTCCTCCAAAGTTGGCTGCCAAGCTGCTACTGTAGCCTGCTCCCATGGCAAACTCCAATCTGCAAGGAGAGAACCAAACACTTGGAGCCGCTCGGAGCCCAACTCTCGTCTGGCAGATGAGGTTTCTCTTGGGTATGGTCACCAGCTCACAGCTGCAAAGCTAGCAACACGAAACCCTAGCCCGCCGTCGCCCGCAGCCCTGATGTGACATGCCACATCGGGCATCTCAAATTCGAGCAAAAACACCAGTGAACGCAAAATTCTTTCATGACGATGCTTGCACAGGGACTGCAACAACATGCGTCACAACATGAGTCATGCACACACAAAAAGCGCTGGGCTCCATGGTGTTGTTCCGTGCTTGCGATAGCTTCTTTGTAGGTGGTGAGAATTGCCCGACGCATGTCTGCGAGCCACTGCGAGCGGATGAAGCGGCTAGGGTGCACGCAGGGTCCAGCTCTGACGTGCGGCACGTGGCTTCTGACGCCAGGTCCAACAAAAAAACGGAATTCCTAGGGCAGCTCTCTTTTTCTTCCTGCAGCAGGGTCGGCCACGACGTTCTTAGTAGGTTGAAAGGTGCTGGCGGCAAGTTCAATGCCTCTGCAACCTTGCAAACTGGGATGCCTCGCGAGCTTCTAGAAAAGACTTTGGGTCGGCCTCATAGCTAGATCTCGTGGTACTTAAGTTAGGGGCATGTTTAGGAATGATATGGACCCTCTATTTTATCTTTTGGTGCTGCTCCTAGAAAACGTCATTTCCAGGCCCATAAGACTTGATCAACCCGCATCGGTCGGGGATCCCATTCCAGCATGAAGAACCAGGACCGGCCCTCACTCAATTCAGGCAGGCCAGGGCTCGCCTCACTTCCCACGAGCTGAGGTGCGTCACTGCCAATCTTTGAAGACCAGCATGCTCACACCCGAAGCCGGCGAGAGAAGGTCAGACTCTGCTCGATCGCCAGGATGCCTTGAACCGACTGAAGGCTGTTGAAATTTCGAGAGCTCCCAGGCTTCGGGTGGTATCCGTGCCACCTAGGCATCCTCCGGCCAAAGTCGAGTCTGTGACAGGCAGAATCTCTGCTGCAGAGATGCAACATCAACAAGCCAAACCCAAAACCTTCTTCGAGCATCACACTATGCTGCCAGGTGTCCATCTAGTACCCCATCTAGTCGACGTGAACTGCGTTCAGGGAGCTACCTCCGGTGCAACACTGATGTGGCGCAGGCGTGCTCGCGGACCATGCCACGTCACTGCCAGCGCACACCTCAGGCAACCAGTACTCCGCCGGCCAAGCTTGCTTCACAGCTGCTCTCAGCAGCTATTCCGACATACTTCGCATGGCTTATGAGACGTATGCTGCATGACACGCAACGATTCAATGTAACCACCTCCGGAAAAAGAGACAGGCTTGGCGGTTTTTGAGAAATGGTGTAAAGTCAGCAATTACTTCTGTCACTCAGGGGGCTGTGCAAAGCAGGTGGCTCGACAGGAGTTCTGCATTCCAGGCTAAATCGCCAAAAAGTAGGTGCCAGCCCTGTCACTGTCAAACCAAGTCTACTACGCGAGGGCTTCATTGAGCTTTTGAGGTCCCAGGAGATAGTTTAAGAGAGATCCACGAGGTCTTCAGCGACGGGGTGGCACGCTGTGCCAGGCAAACTGCGAGTGTCCAGTGCGTCACTGCCAATGAACCGTTTGGCACCAGCGTGCACGCACTAGCACACAAGCTTCAACTGAATTATTGCATACGTGTCAACGAATTCAGCGAGCACCGAAGGCTCACGTTGGCCCACGGCCAACCTTCGACGATGGAGCCTGAGAGTGAGAGCACACTCAGCGGCATTTCAAGCAGAAGCGTCGGCATTGCACTTTATTTTTTGGCAAGGAGGTAGGATGCCCACCCGCAAGGTTTCATCTGACACGAGCTCTTCGGGTTCAGGGCGTATACGGTGCGCCAAATTAAGTAAGCTATGGAGCCTTCAAGGAGGCGCATCCTCAAAGAAGTCGTACGTCTGCGGAATACTCATCTTCTCGTCTTCGTCAATGGGAGTCTGCGCCCTGGCCACATGGCTCGAAGCATGCTGAGCATGCTTTGGAGAATGATAGCTGGGTCCCGGCAGCCTTTATACCTCGGAGTACTATATAGATACTACATAGACTGAGCACTTCAACATGGCGGGCGGTTTGCACCCTGTCGCACTTACTGAAAATGCAAGAGTTGCGACACACCGCGCGAAAGCCCTAAACCATTCAGTTTCAACTCGACGCCATGTGAGACCTCACAAGCATCGCGATCGCAAAAGCAAGGCAGTGAACCCTCGCGCCTCTGCTTGGGTCGCTGGGTCATCCCGGAGCGGCGGGTGCGTCCACGATCCTGAAGCACTTTAGGGCGTTTAGGGGTCCTCCTTTCAGCCTTAAGACTTCGACGCGCAGGATATTGTACAGGGGTTCTGGGCCAAACAAGCCTCCTATCCCCATAATGTTGAAACACCCCAAAAGACCACAGCGCCGGCACGTCATGAGTCTGCCGACAAGGAGCATATTTGGGAGTTTGGGGGTTAAGGATTTCCAGGGTGTGGCTAGACTATCAAAGGGGGGTTCGGATTTACCGTTCCCAGCTCTCTCACGGGGGACGGGATTCTTCTCAGACTGTGGAGCTGAGAGCAGCATTCCTACAAGCGGGTAGGTTAAGTCACATCTTTGCGTGTGAAGTCACATCTCCCCAGTGACACGTGGCTGCGAGCGAAGTCACATCACCCCGCGTAAAGTTGCATCACAGAGACATGTGTTGAAGCCTTTCCCCCAATGTGCACGCGCCGCACGCGCATGTTCTCGACACACGTGCTAAATACGCACTTGTCGCCGCACGCCTGGGAGGGGAGCACATTTTCGTCAGCGTGCATGAGATTTCTGCTTACGGGTGCACGTGGGTTCTGACCAATCTTGGAATTCGCGAATCCCCAGTGTGCACGCGCCCGAGATGCGACTTTACACAAGAAGATACGACTTAACCTACCCGCTTGTATGGGGTTTCCCTTTGGGGGTTAGCGTTTAGGGTTTAGGGTTTTAAGGTTTAGGGCTTAGGGTTTAGGGTTCAGGGTAAGGGGGCTTCCCGACACCCTAAACGGTCAACCATGAATCCTAAAGGAGCTGAGAGCAGCACAGAGTGGCCCATGGTCCAGATCTGGGCCGCCGATGGCGAGACGGCCTAGCGCAACAGCAGCTTGCCCTATATAAACCTCCCTGAGCCCTAAAACCCCCCAAGAAAAGGAATACGAAAGAAGAAGAAGAAGAAGAAAAAGAAGAAGAAGAACAACAAAAAACAAACTCAAAGACAAAGACAAAGAAACCATGCTACACCCTCAAAGCCCCGGCCCCCTACCCCTGAAAAAAAAAATAAGTAAAAACAAAACTGAGCACCACCAGTCCCTAAACCCCAGCGAACCTTGCAGGCCGTCTGCCACGGTCCGTTCGGGTGTAGGTTTTAGGGTCGTAGGGGTTTAGGGTTGAGGGTTTAGGGTCTAGTGGACTACAGGGCTCTCTCGCCGCTTATGTACGAGAAGATTCCTTGCTGAGAGTCTTGATACGAAACTTAAACCCCAAACCCTACACACTGTGGGCCCAAGTCCTGGTACTCATTCCACAGTCTAGGGGTGTAGACTACTTGCTCGGGCATGCCCTGTGGTTGCAGGCTCATGGCAGGCTAAGAACGCTACCCGTCCATCTTTAAGGCTCAGGGCTCAGGATTTGGGGCTTTGGGGTGTAGGGTTTAGGGTTTGGGGTTTAGGGTGTCCTCAACCCTGCACCCCTCCACAAAATCGACTGTAGACAGCCCGGAACAGAGGCCCACCTCGACCGGCTCATCCGGGTGGAAGGTCACCTGAACCAACCCCCCCCCCCACCCACGTCGCATCAGGGCTTAGGAGTTAGGGGCCTAGAGGCTTCTAGAAGCTGGTGCAAAATTCGTGGGCGGGAGTTTTCCAAGCTGAGGGGTAGTCGCTCTCTCTCTCTCTCTTGGAATCCCTGGCCCGGGCTTGCCTGGAAGATGTCCACGGTGTCCTTGAACTTCTCCACCAGGGTGACCTGAGGCGGACGGGGGCGGGGGGGGGGGGGGCATTTTTCGGGTTTGGGTCTTGGGGCCTTTGGGCTTCGAAGGCGAGGAGCTCCTGCCGAGTGCTTGCGAAGCAGCGGGGTGTGGCCCTGTGACTGCACGTACGTATGACTCGATGATTCGATGAGAAATACACAGACACATGGCACGGACATGCTTAGATGCAGAATGGGAGTGCTCTCAAGCTGTGGGTTCCTGGTACAGGAGGGTAAACCCTGAAGACCCTAAACCCCCCTTCAAAAACGGGGCCCAAATGTAGAAGGCACCCCCAAATCACACATGTGCCAGCGTGGGGCGGAAGCTGCAGCTCCTCCAGTGATTCGGACCTTTGTGCCCTTCTTCACCTCGTTGGCGGGCCTGCCCACACCGGCTGGAGCAACGAGGACTTGAGGTTCCAGGGTTTCGGGATGTTTGCGTGTGAAGTTTTCGTGGGGAGTTTTTGGGAAGGCTGGAGACTTGAGGTGAGAGAGTGAGAAGGGGACATAAAGCTGGAAGTTGAAAATACCATAATTCATGATTTTTTGCAGGGGAAGGGAGGGGGGGAGAGGTTCAGGGTGTAATTAGGGGGCGCTTGGCTTGCTTTGCCCACTGGCCTGGGAGGGCCGGTCTCCATGACCACCCGGTGCGTGCCCGTCACCACGATGGACGCCTCAGCAGCATCGATCCGAGCATCGATCCGGACCAAGTCCACCGTCTCGCGGTCATGACCTGGGTTGCTGGTAAGGAACAAGAAGAAAGCTACCAACCTAAGGGACCCGCATTCACACCAGTGTGACTTTGAAAAAGATGCTTGTGTGTGTCTGTGTGTGTTGCTCCCCTTATATGCTAGCTCATTGAAGTTCCAAAACGGCGACCCAGTGACGCTGGACCTTCTTCACCTGGGCCGGGCTTGTTGGCGGATCCGAAAGGTCAAAGTTCAGTGCTCGACACGTCGTAGCCTACTTATCATCGAAAACCCCAATCACTGTAGGGCTTGTGGATGTAGAGGGTTTAGGGGGTCGGAAGTTCTTCCAAAACGAGGGCATGCTTGGAGGCACCTCCAAGCATGCCCCACTCGGAACGGCTGAGCAGATGCGGCTGCCCTCCTCCAAGCACTCCACCGGGATCATCAGGCTGCTGGCGCCGCGCAGGAGGGTCCCTCGTAGGAAGCACTTCGGGCCACCACGCGGATCGGAGAGGACGGAGATGGAGCTGGGGGCATTGGACACCTGCGATCCGTCGATCACATCGTCAAGAGCGTCTCGAACCCCGACTCCGACATGGGAATGGGAGCCGACCCCCACGTTGGAGCAGGAGTCCTCTGGGCGAACGGTCGGAACCGCCGGGCGGCTTCGGGAAAGCGATGCTTTCGCCCAGCGGTTTCCGCACTGGTTCCCTCGCAAGGACTTGACAAAGGCCTCCCTTTCCACCAGGCACTTGCGGTTGCGGAGGTTGCTGATCAAATCTTGAAAGTCCTTGGAACCTCCACACAAGATGTCTGCATTGCCTATGCACAGCAGTCCATATTTTGCACGGGTCAAAGCCACGTTCAGGAGCTTCGGGTTCGAGACGATGCCCAGGCTTGGAAGACACATCTCCCGCAACGCGATGGAGTCGCCGCGCGTGGCAGCCTCTCCTGAGATGCTGAAACGTCACCAGAATCTAAGGAAAGCAGAGCATCTTCTAGAGAAAAGGCCTGTTGCGGAAAGCTTACATCATGGAGCTCCTTAACAACAGCTCAGTCTCCCGAGGAGATGTCTTGCACCTCGTCGGAGATGCTGCGCACACAGCTCATGATGATGAACTCGCGCTCGGACCCCTGCAGCGCATGAACCGTGCCCACGAGCACCATCAAGGACTTGCCGCAAACGGCTCGGTCCAGCTTGTCACGGATCTCCTGGTACTGCGCCGTGTACGGCGTGATGATGGCGACGTCCTCTGGCCTGCAGCCTCTCTGAAGGAGCGCCGCGCACGCTTCCACCGCCACCTCGGCCTCCCCTGCATTTCTCAAGGAGCTCCTCCCCTCGCAAGATGCCTCGCAAGCTCGGTCCAGGGAGTGAGGAGTCTGGCAGTCGACGAAGCGCACGTGCTCCTTCTCCTGGGGCCAGAGGCACTGGAGCTCTGGCCGGTGGGGGATGGAGACATGGTCCATCAGCTTGGACTCGTAGAACTGCTTGGAGGGAAACTGCCTGATGGACGGGTGCATCCGATGCTGCACGTTCAGCATGACACCTGGGTTGCTGTCAAGAAACGCTTAACAATAAGTTACCATAGTCAGGGAACCAGACTATTTGCTACATACATATATATATATATATCTCTCTCTCTCTCTCTCTCTCTCCCTCTCTCTCTTACTGCTATAGTAACTCAATTTTCATTGCATGCAACAGCGTGCAACCCAGACACTGGACCTCAGGCGCACAGGATCCTTCAACATCCTCTCCAAGAAGGGTACCTCCAAAGCACTGAGATACGCCGCACAGAGGTTCCTCTGCGTTATCACCGGCCCGAGCTGCTGGTGGTCCCCAACGACAACCAAGCGCTGAGCCGCATGGGTGGCTGCCAACACAACATCCGGCTCACTCGCTTGCGCAGCTTCGTCGATGACTGCGGTGTGAAATTGGATTGGGCGCACGGCAGTGCGTGGCTCACCCTGGATCAAGGCAGTGTGGAGGTATGCAACCGAGCATGTAGTGATCACCACGCGGCTGTCACTCAATACACTGATCTCCGCTGCCTCGTACGCCTTGTCAACAGCCTTCTGATCAGCATTCTGCCTGGTCTGGGCTGCTAGTTGCGGCATTTGACTCACTTTGAAGTGCAAGCTGTGCTCCTCCAGGTGGGGCTGAATGTCAAAGCTGCGCTCATTTCGCATGTGGCCACCCTTGTAGATGCTTCCATGCGTGGCCTCGATGAATCTGGAATACACCCGTGTGATGTACTGCGGCGGGATGGATGTGTCCGTTACCAGCCGCTGCAGAAGATGATCTGCTGCGTGATTGGAGGGTGCGCACACGAGAATGCGGTGCACCTGAGCCGTGTTGGTAGCATCTCCTACGCAGACTTCAATAGTCGCAAGTTCGTTCAATCATGCATGCATGTGTGTATGTGTATGTATATATGTATATGTATGTATGTATGTATGTATGTATGTATGTATGTATGTATGTATGTATGTATGTATGTATGTATGTATGTATGTATGTATGTGTGTGTGTATGTATGTTCATTCATAAATTTACGTATACACACAGGTACGACAGCCGACATCTGCCTCATTGAAGCCTTGTCCTTGCAACACGCCCCCTTGCTGCCCCGCCACACCACCCCCCCTTGCCAAACCCCCGCCCGCAACCATCGCGCGCACCTGCTGCGGCCGCTGGTCAGCAGGCTTGACGGACATCGCCGTCACAACAAACTTCACAAGCAAGGAGGTCTTGCCGGTGCCAGGTGGCCCTTGCACAATAGAGAAGGGGCGCTGTAATCCACGCTGGAGTGCGATGGTCTGCTGCTCATTCAGGCTCGTGTCCTTGCCAACTGCTTACAAGCCCACGATACTTCTAGTATTGCGACCTCTTCAAGCTCCACTATCAACAGTCAGCTCTGCGCTACTTGCTGCTCGAGTCCTTCCGCATCGGGTAGTCCGGGTTCTGCTGAAGAAGCTTCACCTGAAGATCTCACTTTGCAGCTTCAAGCCCCAGGTGGAAAGGCACATGAAACATCCCACCTACTGTAGGTCCCGCACCTGCTCGGGCGTCATCAGTGGCCTCATCTCCAGCTCTCGCTTCTGCTGCTGTGAGGTGCGTGGCACTGTAAGTCGCATGTTCTGCAGCGGAGGGCTTGCCGGAATGGTTTCGAGCATCTGGATGCTCTTCTTCTCGTTGCCTTGGACAGATATGAAGTAAAGCCCAGGAGCGGCGACAGCATCGACGAAGATTGCGAGCTCCTCTCGCAAAGTCTGGGAATTCTCGCAGAGCTCTACCTGGACATTGAAGGTCTTCTCAGCAGACGAGTCGTCCCTGTCGCGCGCTTTCGGGTAAGGCTTGGCCTGCAGAACCGTTCCACGAAGATCCACCACCTTCTCCTCCCTCTCCAGTCGAACCACAGCAAGGTCTCCCTGTCGGACCCAGGAACAGGGAGATAGAAGCACATCCACCTGGCACTGGAAGTGCCATTCGTTGTCCTTCCTGACCCATCTCACGTGGCGTGCGGGGCTGGGCGGGGTGTACGCGTCACTGGAGGCAGCAGTTGCATGGACTTGGCAGGTGCGGATCCGGGTCCAGATGCGCGAGTAGGCCTCGATCCGGCGGTCCATGACCGCCCACTCTGGCAGATCCTGACTGTTAGCAGGGAATAAGGGGAATATATGCCCCCAAGGGATTATATAGGGTACCTCATTCCCAACATTCCCTACTAACCAACAATAAGGATCAGGAGAGGATGAGAACATCTCCGGGAACATCCTGTGGCCGACTGGGAGCCTGGTCTTGTCCAGCACGAGCTCCGTCACGATGACGGCATTGGCGCTGGCGTGGTGGGGAATTGGTTGGGCGCAGTTCCGCGAGATGACGCAGCTCATCTTCGGGGAACTCCAGGTCTCCAGCAAGATGCTGGCCTCTCCCGTCTCCGGGTCCTTGGCGCTGAACCTGGCAATTCGGGTTTTTGTTTTCATGCGCTCCTCTCTCTGAAAGCAGCACAACCTCATCACTTCGACCGCGGCCCTTGCGCGCCCGAAGAAACCGCTTGCCGAGAATGCACCAGATGTGTGGGACTTGCATGTTTTGGGGTGTTTTTGGGGGGGATCGGCGGCATGTCCCGACTGATCGCCTCAAGGACTGGGCCGCGGCATCGTAGTGCGGGGAGCTCGATGAACTGCAGAGCACTGACACGGGAACCTTGTCAAGTCTGCGAATGGGGATCGCAGGTTTGAAGCTTAGCATATGGGAGTTAGTGTTCGGGTTGGGCTCAGGGAAGGACGTGACAGGGCAAGACAGGTGTGCGCGCATTGGCCCTGCACCGCGCAGCTCCAGCAACATCAGCATAATTTTGTGTTGGCCAGCTTTGCAAAGGAGCAACCCAAACAAGCGCAAGAGGGCATCACCGGGCTTTCCAGAAATGGACGAAGTTTCGATGATAGTGGGGCCCATAACGCCGAGCGAAGGCAGAGCCTCAACCCTGACTTCTCGGCCGCTAAGCAATGAGACACATGATAGAGGTCTCCAGCCCAAAAAAGGCTGCAGCCCACAAATATGAGGCTAGGGTCCAGGGTTTGGGGTTAAAGCTTCAGTATGAAAGGTTGAGGCAAGCCCAATGTTTCGCACGTCGGGCGAGCCTTCATCTCGAGAATGGAGGCTGCAGCTGAGGGGATCAGGACGTTGATGTACACGGGGCCCACGGCCCCTATCAATGGATCGGAGACGCGACGCCCGATGGACAGCTCCTTCTGGGATCATGGGCTTGTAGAGGTACATATCTGAACAGTATTTAAAGCAAGTGCTTCCAGGGGCACAAGTGCTTGGACTCTAGTTCGGGTAGCTACATGCAGCTCCTTCCTCCAGGAGATGATCCTGAAGATGTGCAGGCCAAAGCCCTCAGCCGCATGCCTGGCGTTTGCCCGAGCCACCGCCTTCTGCAAGTCCATCTTGGGCAAGCGCAGGAGCTTGGAGGGCCGCCAACCAAGCTGACACTTCAGGGCCCGCATTCCCAGGATGTCGATGTACCGCTGCAAGGGCCGACTGATGTGGAACAAAGGCTCGTGGAAGAAATCCTGGGTGCCAGGCTTGCTTGCTGCAGGCTCGGGCTCTGCAACTTCGTAGTATGACTGCGGGAGGGCATTGCGAAGCCGCCGAACAAAAGATGAGACGAAGCAATGTCGCTGGGCATACGACAGCCCCGTTCGACTGATGATTGTCCGCAGCGCCTGCAACGCATGACCCACTCCAAGCTGCACTTGATCGTCCCCAGGCTTGAGAAGCAGAAGACGCTCAATGACCTTCCGTGCATCTGGATCCTGTTGCGCATGAGAACACCTGATCTCAAGTGCTGGCAGTGTCTCCCTGCCATCCTCCTCCAGCAGCTCCCTCCATGCAGGACTTCCTCGCAGGAGGCGGCCAGCATGCTGATCAAGAACGTGTGCAAGAGTTCGTACAAGCCGGCTGCCAGCAAGGTGGGCATAAGCCGATGGAGCCTGATCCCCAGCCCCAGCGTGGCTCGCAAAGTCGACATCCAGGTGCTCCAAGGAGGCCAAGCTTGCGCGCTTGACTTCCGCCTTCTCGAACTTCCGCGCATGGCCCGCCAGGTGGCGCATCAAGCTGCCCACCTCGCCATCCTCGCCCTCCTTGCCCAGCAGCATCAAGCCAGCCTCCTCCGGAGTCAGAATAGACTTGCACCGCACCAAAGTCTCCGACATGGCAACGTTCTGGAAGTCGAGATCCTGGTGCGCCGTAAGGGGGAAGGTGAAGGTCACGGCGAGGCGCTCGGAGTGCTCCTGAAAGCTCAGCTCCTGCTCGACATCTGGCGGGAACAGTGGGAGGCAGGCGTCCAAGGGCATGTCCTTATGGTCGTAGAACCAAGCTCCGACAGCACGCCGGCGCACCATCTCCTCCACCGTCTCCATCCCCGGCTGGGCAAGGTAAGAGTTCACATCCAGAACATGCATCTGCAAGCCTATGGCAGGCAGGTGGGACATCACCAAGCTGGTTGGCAGGCCTGGGTGCTGAATGCCAACTGTTAGCAGAGTTCGGAGATCTTCCCGCCCGGAGGCATCCGGGCGTGGAAATTGCCCGGATGGAAAGAGACCCGCGTTTTGCTTCGCATCTCCTCGCTTCCAGTCGCAGAAGTTGAGAGAGATCTGCACTGGCTCCAGGATGCCGACATCGGAGTCACGGGACTGCATCTTCAAGCTCTCCACATACCTCCCCCTCGGCTGCCGGTCACCATGCCAAGAGTCCACTTGAATGACATGAAGATCGATACTGCTCGGCAGGGGCTTGGCCTTGCTCCAGGGCACTTGAATAGGTGGCAGCTTGCCATTGATGGGCTTGAAGGGCACATAGTTGTGATTGCGCACGACCTTGGATCTGGAGCAGACGAACTCGTTCTGCCATGGGACGCCAAACTCCTCGGAGTGGACGATGCGCCCGAAGAGTACGGTCCTGCACGCTGCTACTGTAGTGGCGCAAACCCCCCACTGCTTTGCGCTGCCAAACCCTACACTCAGGCGAGCAGATGCTTTTTGAGGGTCCTGCCCACGTCCTCCACGCGCAGGGAAGACCGTGCTCGTCGGGGCTGCTTTCCGACGGAGAAGATCTGGCCCTGGGCCACAAAAGGTGGGAGATGACAGCTCACAAACCCCAAAATCAATAAATCCCAAAACCCCAGGGTTGGTTCAGTGTCGTACATAAACTAAGGGCTTTGGGCTTAAGTAGCTGTCTGAGGAATTTGGGGGGGCTTTGGGCCTAGGACTTTCTGGAACCATTTTGTTATCCCTGAACCCTAGACCCTTATAAACCCAAAACCCAAACCCCTAAACCCTAAACCCTAAACCCTAAACCCTAAACCCTGCACCCTACACCCTAGACCTTACAGTCTAAACCCGAAACCCTGCGCTTCTCAGCTCCTTGACATGTTGCACGTTGAGCCACCCATAGGAGTCACGTACCCAATTTAGAGTTTAGGGTTTAGGGTTTAGGGTTTAGGGTTGAGGGTTTAGGGAAGAGCAGCAGATGAGGGCCCGGCGAGGAGCAGGCGCACGAAGCACCGGTCGCAGTCTCGAGCCTGTGCCCGGTTCTTGCCTGGTGGTTTCGCAGCGCTTCTTCCGGTTTTGGGTTTAAGGTTTAGGGTTTAGGGTTGAGGGTTGAGGGTTTAGGGTTTAGTGTTTAATGTTTACGGTTTCGGGCCCAAGCCCTGAAGCGGTAGGGTTCAGCACTATCCACTCTCATTTTGTCATGGGAGGCGAGGGGTTTTAAACGTTTGGGGGGGCTCAAAGCCGCCCACCTGCCAGGATGCGCACCTTGCAACCCAGCAAGGGCTTTGGCCCGCGCTCCACGAGAACCTGGTGTGCAGGGTTTAAGGTGTTGAGGTTTTCGGGTTTAGGGCTTAGGGTACCAATAAGCTCCAATTCCGAAGCACCCTGAGGCCACACATCCTCGACCCTCGCCCGCCACCCCAATTGCCTCTCCGCAGTGCTTTGCCTTGCTATCGGAACCGCCGGCGGTGCAGCGGAAAGTTCCGCAGACGAGTGTGCCGGCCAACTCACCAAGTTCGTCAGACTGCCTTCAGGGTTTAGAGGCTTAGAGGTGTAGAGAGGAGTTTTCAGGCTTAGGGTTTACAGTTTACAGTCATTCCCTCCTGCCTGCTGAGCTGAGTCTCAAGGCTGTCTGGACAAAAGGCGCAGCTCGATGCGACCTCGTTCAGCATGACCTCCGAGACCTCCGCGCCGGAAGCAGCGGAGCCCTGGCACTGGCTGGAGTCACTGCCGACCTCGTACTTATCCGACCGCACCTGGATGAGCCGATCGAGAAGGCATTGCAGGTCCGGGGGGCTCCCGAACTTCCCTTCTTCCCCCCTTTCCCCCCTTTCCCCCCTTTCCCAGCCATGCAGAGCCAACAAGCTCTCCAGCTGTGAGGACCGTGCTGCTTCGCGCAAGGCACGCTCCAGCTCCGGCAGCCACTCCTTCGACTGGCCGGCAACCGTCATGGCGCACTCGGTGGCGTGCACAGCATTGTCTAGGCAGTGCAGGGTGTCCTCACCATCCGAGCTGCCGGGCTCGTCCCATGGTAAAGGACTGGCGGCTGGAGGCCTGACTTCGGGTTCCGGGACCTCCCTCAACTCCCTGACCTCCCTGACCTCTTTGCTCTGGGACTCAGAGCACCTGAGCGGCAAGAACTTCAGTGCCCTGCTGCGGAGCCGGTCCGCGCCGACCCACTCCTCCTCCTCTTGCGCCGATCCCTTGCGATGGACACAGATGGGCCTGCGAGATTGCCTGACATCTTGGGAGACTTCCCTGACCGTGGCCAAGAAGAGCTTGGATCCACAGGCCACCTGCACCTGCATGCCAATCTCAAAGGCCGAGTACTCTGGAACGAGGAGCTGCGTCACGGACACCCTCTCCAAGGAGTGCGACCCATCATCCATCAAGAAGCGCACATGGACGGGCGCCTGCTTCCTCGCAGACTCCGCGGAAACCTCCTGAACTTCACCATAGCGAATGCTCTTTTCTGTCTTTGTACAAACCAGCATGTCACCGCGGATTTCGGGACGGCCAACGGAATCTGGCTCAAGAACGTGCAGATTTCCTGCTTTCTGCTTGGGGTCATTGTGTCTGAAGCGGCACGACGTGCCATAGCTGCACAAAAGCTGCGGATCCCGCCGGTGCAGAAACGTGCGCTTCCCCACTTTGTGTGTCGCAGGGAAGTCACACCGGTCCTCCAGCCAATAGCAGCATACCGCCCTCTGTTCTTGATGGTGTCCATACCGACACTTCAGCCCATACCCGCACTGCAAGCCCGGAGCATCCTCATGCAAGTATTGCCGACTGCCACTCATGTGGCTACTGACCTCCTTGCATGTTCCGCATAGCCACTTGCAGCATATGAACGTCGGAGTTGGGGGCCCGGACTCCTCATCGACCTGTCCGCTGGTCTCTCCTCGCGGCGTCGAGGCTTTCTCTGCTTCGGGCGGTCCTTCTTCGCTGGAAGATTCCGGAATCATCTGGCTGTCAACACTTTGCTTCCCGTCAATGCTTGTGAAGGCTGCTTCATTTTGCTGGTTGGTTGGGAGCTTGGGGCGCCACTGGAGCCTGTGATCGGAACTGGACGGCTCACCGGCCGCGGTCGCTGGGGTCATTTCCGGAACTGCCTGATCTGATGCCTCCTGTCTTTCATAGTGCTTAAACCTGCAGGACGACCCGAAGCCACAAAGCATACCTGGAACGTCCTCATGCAAGAACCGGCGCCTTCCGTGCGTGTGGCTGTCTGCTTCACTACACCGTCCGCAAAGCCATAAACAGCACACGGACGTTGCTGTGAAAGGGTCTTCAGATGGCTTGTTCTCTGCATGGCACTCTGGTTCTGACTCCTCTTTCTCAATCCTTGCCCCGGCAGCTTTGGACATTCCAGGTCGTGCATAGTGCTTGTGCCGACAATGGAGCTCGAAGCCACACATCATTCCTGCAACATCCTCATGCAGAAATGTCTTGCTTCCCTTTGCGTGGCTGCCTTCTTCGCGGCACCTTCCGCCAAGCCAAAGGCAGCACACAAAGGTCGAGGCTGCATCCGAGGTGTGAAGCTCTGTTTCCATCGGCGTGGCGTGAAGACTTCCAGGGGGGGGCGGGGGCTCAGGGACTTCCGGAGGCAGTGGGCCTCGCGACATGTAATGGTTGTAGTAGCAGCGCATTCCGAAGCTGCATGACAGGCCACGCACGTCTTCGTGAAGAAGTTCCTGGTCCCTCAGCACGTGGCTTCCCTGTTCACGGCATGCGCCTCGGAGCCATAAGCAGCAGACAGACTTGGATGCAACCACTGCAACGGCCTCCCTTGCGGGCGTGGCTTGGTCTTGGGCTGAGGGGCTTGTAACAAGATCATTGAACATCTCCTTCTCTTCATGAGAACTAACTTTCTCCTGAAACACACGCCCATCACACCACTCCTGCTCGCAGCGGAAGAGTGGCCGGCCCATGTGCCATGCCTCTTTCTTGTACCCATGGAGCTGCAGGCTCATGCCCTCTCCCTGCTCGGCAGTGGTGTCCCTCGCTTGGTACCGTTCTGCAAACCTGTCCTGAGGGCCGTAGAGCCGGCAGGGAGCCCGGATGGTCCGGTGCCGGCGTACTCCTTGCAGCGCACTCAGGGCCAAAGCCCGCCGGCTTCCTGTGATGATGAAGAGCTTTCCTGGCGACAGACGAACCCTCCATCCGAAGCCCGAAGCCCTGAACCCTAGACCCTAGGCCCGATACCCTCTTCCTTTTACCCTATACCCCAAAACCCTGTACCCTATACCCTACACCCTAAACCCTATACCCTGTACCCTGTACCCTAAACAACCCCGAAACGAAGACAACCCACGAGTCCTTCGTCGACCACCACGTCGAGTGGCTCGAGCTGCTCGGGTCTTTGCCTTCCGCTGAGGAGGTCATGAAGGAGCTCGTAGACCGAACGGTCCTACACAAGCTGCTGAGGTGTCTTATGGGGCTTTTGGGTTCTGAGGAAGGCATTGCGAACTTACTCAGCGGTTGTCAAAGTTCCTGGTTGAGAGCCGGGCTCAATCGTTTCATGGCGCCAAACGGCATGTCGAGGTCAGAGCTTCAGGGGCTCCAGGTCTTCAGCACGTTGCAAAAGTTCGAGGTTCGGGGCCTAGAACCCCAGTGCTCATGGAACTTAGGACGTAAGGTTCGGAATCGAGCGGAGCATGGTACTGTGTAGGATACTTCCATGACCAGCGAGGAAGTAAAGAGACAGAGAGAGAGACTGTCAAGAAACAGACCTTCAATCCCCTCACAGGCGTCCTTGTGGGTGCCGGAGGTGAATACCATCTGCCCATGAACCTAGTTCATGGTTGGGGTCGTATTTAAAATTTTGAATTGATACTCCTTATTGGGTTTAAGTACCCATAACAATGTAAAATATTGTAAAATGTTACCCAACTATGACCAAGGAACACGACCCTGAGCCCAGCGCAGGGAGAAGACTGGAACCAGCACCACATGCCCAACGCCCAGCTCCCGAGGCGGCGCCGACCTAGGGTTTAGGGCCCAGGGTTTAGGGTTTAGGGTTTAGGGTTTAGGGTTTAGGGTTTTGGGTTTTGGGTTTAGGGTTCAGGGGGTGACTACTCTGAAACATCCAAACATCCGGTTGGCTCTAGGTCTCTAATGCCCTCCGACTTTCGGGCTTAGGGCGTAGGGCTTATGGTTTAGGGTTCAGGGTTTTCGGGTTTAGAGGTTGAAAGGTTCAGGGGTTTAGGGGTTTAGGGAAGAAAGGGTTGAGGGGTTTAGCCCTTAAACCTTCATGGTGCTCTGCCAAGCAGCTGGAACGTCAGCGCGTCGGCGATGAATGCGGGGAGCCCTGCCCCGGGCGAGTCATGGGAAGCGGCCCCGGGCGAGTCATGGGAAAAGGTCCCGGGCGAGTCATGGGAAACGGCCTGTGGGGCTGAAGGCTCGGTCACAGGAGGGGTCTGTGCGCGCGGCTCTTGCTTCAACTTCGCGTGGCTCCGCAGGACCACGCGAACCTGCATTTTCTTCATTCCCATCTCCCTCAAATCTTCTTCGAGGTCGGCCTCTTCGGCTTGGCTGAGAAGATTCAAGTTGTAACCGAGCTCCTCGAATGCTGCTGCGAAGCTTCTGCACAGGTCATCGTCAATGGAAGCGAGCCATGCCCGGAGGCATGGTGGCTTCGATTCCATCTGGGCTAAAGGCTTGTTTTGGCTTGCAACCTTTGGTGCAAGAGCTGGCCGAAAGAAAATGAGAAAAAATGTGTACCTGTACAACGACACGCATTCTGAGCTCCGAACAGTAAACTCTTGCTTCATAAGGCCTATGACGGATATTTTTTGGATGTCACTTTGTTTGATAAGTTTAGCCTGTTACATGTGACAGTAGTAAAGGTTTCTTCAAAACTGCAGCACATGATGTGGCTCTTGAAGATCACTCTGGGGCATCTTGTACTTCTGGCAGCCACTGAAGCCCGTGATGCGCATGACTCGCTGCGAGCCGCTTCGGCTTCGATCACATCAAATTGCTTCCCTTGCTTGTTAAACTCTTTACTCCATGAACTGAAGGACATGCAACACGCACTGCACCGCTTTCCTTTCGCTCAGTACGGGCAGTCATCTGGGGACCCGTAAAAAACTAAGCCACCTCCGGCACGCCAAAATCGACAGGACACATGTGAGGGCGAATGAGGTTTTTTGGAAGTCATACAGCAAATGAACTTATACAAGCTTCTATCCGGAACCCCATGACCTTTCAACCCGTCCGTGGACTGATAAGGCTCACATGATGGCGAAATTGGCATGTTGGTAGCCTGGCCTGAGAAGGACATTGCGAGAGTGCCGAAGCGTGCCGAAGTACGTCGAAATGCGAGTCGTTTTGCGGAATGGTACCGCGCGTTTCTCGAGTTCATGGAGGTTACAAGGTTTCTCAAGTTTCACGGCTTTACATTTTTTGACCTGGCTTTACTGTACCAGCCGAGTTTAACGGCTGCTCTCCCCGGCTTCGACCACACCTTTCAGCCACCTCTCACGCATCGCCATCAATGGCTCTTTCAGCCGCACCTCCGAAGGCCAAAACCAGCCTCCACATGACAAAGAGCTGGAGACTTATCAAGTTTCGACAGCAAGCACTGCCACGTGAACATCCCCGCAGCCATGTGTAGCGAATCTGGGAAAGATTAAACCGAAGATCTGATTCCTACAGCCTTTTGAATAAAAGAACTTCTTTTGCCCTGGACCCTTCGCAAAAAAAAAAAAATTGCGTTGCGTGAGCAAACATCCCAACAACAAACCAATTACAACAAGGGCTGAAAAACAATGAAAGCCAAAAGAAATGGGAAAAGGTTTTAGGAATGCTGAACGCGTCAGAGAAAAAACAACTTCCGGAAAGTTAAGGGGTTTGGGTTCTCTTGCATGTAGTCAAACTCAACTGCACCATGCTTGATCGCCTTTACATGGATGGATGGTCAGCCGCGGATTCGGAAACTGGAAACACGCGGATTCGGAAACTGGAAAACCCTGATTCTGGAAACTACAAAACGCGGATTCGGAAACTGAAAACGCGGGTTCGGGAAACCAGGATTCGAGAAACCAGCTGATTCAGGAAACTGGAAAACGCGGATTCGGAAACCAGCTGATTAAGGAAACTGGAAAACGCGGATTCGGAAACTGGAAACCGCTGATTCAGGAAACTGGAAAACGCGGATTCGGAAACCAGCTGATTCAGGAAACTGGAAAACGCGGATTCGGAAACCAGCTGATTCAGGAAACTGGAAAACGCGGATTCGGAAACCAGCTGATTCAGGAAACTGGAAAACGCGAATTCGGAAACCAGCTGATTCAGGAAACTGGAAAACGCGGATTCGGAAACCAGCTGATTCAGGAAACTGGAAAACGCGGATTCGGAAACCAGCTGATTCAGGAAACTGGAAAAC